TAAAACTTAATAAAAACATAAAAAAATAAAAATATGAGTCAGATGCCAGGTGTTCTGAATTCTGATCATGTGACCATGGGGATGCTACAATGGTCATAAGTGTGAAAAACGATCATAAGTCTCATTTTTCAGTGCCATTGTAAATTCGAATAGTCACTGAACAAACTTATAAGTCAAGGAAGGGCTGCACTGAAGTAGTGCCCCAAATGGGTCCCAACCCGACACAGGCTGGTAGGAGATCCAATTAGTAAACTTGCTATTTTTTCACTGACTGACATTTTTCAGTTAGCCCGATGATTCGAGTTGAATTATTAAACCTTCATATTAAGCCTTCATGATTTGGAAAGGCTTTTGACCTGAGAAAAATTGAATGACTCAGTTTTTTTTTTTTTTTTGAAGCAAGTTGGAATGATCAACCCAAGCAATGGTCTGAATCAAACCATTGCTCTCGTCTGAATAGGTCTGAAACCAGCTTGCAAACCTTAGCAAAGACTTTAAGAGGGTGAAGGGGAGGAAACAAGAGACATACCTTGGTGGAATCGTAGAGAAACAAGATGTACTACAGGGAGTTAAATCTGGATCTGTTTAACAGAAATCGTATCCCTCAGAGAAGTTTGGCTGAATAGTGAAGATGCTTGAACAAGCCATGCATTCTTCACTCACATTCATAATATATGTGTTATTGTTAACAGACTGAAATACAAAAAAAGTAGGAAAAAAAGCACTACATTTAGATTTAGAAAAATAATTTAAAAAAAGATAAATTGCTTTCTAATCATACTTCCAAGCACTCCCTTCCATTTATATCACCAACTTCTAACCATTGTTTAAATATTTAAGCTTTGCATTAAAGATTAAGTAATGATTGCTGGTTTCTATTTAAGTCTTAGAAACCATATTGCAGATGTCTAAGTCTGCCTTGCTGTGATATATTTTACACAAGAGAGTCGATCCTGCTTCAATTTGGGTAAAAAAAATATGTTGTGGACATTTTACTATCAATTTTGCCATTGTAGCTTAGTCTCCAATCTTGTATATAGTAGCTAAAGTATCTCTTTTCCAATTGGTTTAAAATATGGCTTATTAATGGTGTGACATGGGACTGCAACATGAAAAAGTGCCATGATTTGATATTCTATGAAACAACCAATATGTCGTGAGATCTGGTTTGAACTTCTTCATCAACAGACCGAAACCTTGTCTCTGCGAGGCTTCGATCTGTGCTCGCCGCTAGAGTGCCCCGAGCTGGCTGGTTTCGGGGTTAAGCCACCCCATAGAGGTGGTGAAGAAGGGGGAGACTGCCATATCTCTCCTCCCCAGCTGGCCATTACTCCCTTTCCTGAAGGCGGTTGCAGTGGTGGTCCGAAATGGCCACCTCAAAGAAGAACTCAACTGGAAAAGAATGTGCAGGAGGAAGATAAGAAAAGAAAGTTTTTGGATGAACGGGTCGAACTGGAAAAACAACAGTGTAAGGTACCCTGGAATTTGAATTATAAAGAACAACATTGTTCCCAAAGAAGACTTTGAAGCTGCGAATGAGAGAGGGAAGGGAAAGGTTGTATTTTTATATTAGAAATAGAAATGAACTTTGAAAATATGAAACGTGTGATTAAAATGATAGATAAAATACTCATTGTAATGTAATGGAATGTTTAATAAATAAATGAAATAAAGAGAATGAGAGAATGAAATTAGGAAAGGAGGGGAACATTTTAATTATTATAAATGTGTTATAAAAATTTAAGTGAAGAGGAATATGAAAGAAACATGAAAAAATTATCGAAATATTATAAGTGTTCCTAGAAGTATGATATCCTATTGAAAAGGAATGTTAAAGATGTCAAAGATTATAACTAACATTAATGATAGAGCTGAATTGGAATAGAATAAGTATTTTATTTGTTGTTGTTGTTATATATATATATATATTTTCTCCTTAAGAACTTAGTGCGTATTTTAAGAATGTACCAAGCAGAATTCGACTGGAAGTTATGTGTTATATTGAATGTTATAATTGTAAAGGCATAAATTAAAGTTTAAATAAGAGTTAAATGGATAAAAATTAAAAGATACAAAGGTGTCATACTCCAATTAGTAACTACAGGGGAAAAAATTGCTTAATGAGAAAAGAAAATATGAAATTGAAACAGGACAGACAAAAGTATAAATATGATGACTAGAAAGGTATTGAAACTTAGAATATATATTATATATATATAATATATAATTATTTATTTATATTTATATATATCTATATATATATATATATATATATTTGAATTTAGAAAGGAATGAGAAAATTAAAAGTAAGATTGAGAAAACTAAGGGAAAAATTATTGAGAAAATGTTAAAATAGTAATAAGATATGGAATAGAACACAAAGATGAATATGAAAATGAATTTTGTCTGAATGGAGAAGTGATAATCCGGGACCATGCTATTCTCAAAAAAAGAATTTTTACTTGTATTATGTTTTATGAAAACCCAAATAAATTTTATATATATATAAAATAAAACAACCAGTATGTCAAGCTTCCAAGTAATATGTTCCCCGAATGAACATCCATTAAAACATAGCTACATATATGTCAACTTTGGGGTCAATACAGTAAGTCTGAAAAAGCACAAGATCACAGATATGCAAAAAACATCGAGTACAGCTTCCATAGTTTATTCAAGATTTGTACAGGTACCAAAAACATAATGGAATAGAGTATTTTTATTACAACTTATAAAACAATTAAATAGTACAATTTATGCTTTAAGTTTGTTCATTTTTTCCCCTTTTACATCACAATCTATACTTCTATGCAACATTTCTTTGCATTGCCATCAGTTACTTGGGTAGCCATTGATAAAATTAAAAAGAAGGGACAGCTATGCATTAATAAATTAATATTTTTACATCAAATAATAAAATATGACAGTTGTAGAACAAAATTAGTCAACATCTTCTCTCTCATTTTAAAATGTTCAGGAAAGTCTACTTAGACCTCAAGATTGTTGGAATAATCATTTTTTAATGCATCACATTTCATGTTGTTCCTTGCAAAAAAGGAACTGCTAATTTTGACTGACCACTTTCTGACATTAATGTTGACATGTCTAATTTTAGATCAGAAATGATAGTTTGGAGAGCCATAAATCTGAACTACATTCTTCCAGGGATGATGTGGGATTGGCTGGAAAGAGGACAAAAATGTCCAGTGTAGCCATGCCCCAGAAAATTACATCAAAATATAAGGTTCTTTAGCTGTATTGGTTTTACCAAAGACATCTTCTTGTAGTCTAGTTTACCATTTGAGCATTCAAAATATATTCTTTCCATATTAGATACAAGTTGTTTCTACTTATTCCTCGAATGGTGAATCCACTAATATCAGTTGAATGGCAAAAATGGGCTGTGACTGTATTTATGGGCCAACTGTCCTAGATCAAATGGGGAAAAATATTTTCCAGCAGAGAAACACAAGTGTACAGGACCATCAGTTTGACTAACTAATGCAAAACTCTTTTTTCTGATACAAAGAAAACACAGAATTTTATTTTATTAAAAAACAAACAAACAGGCAGCTATCCTTGGCTCAGTTGTCATGTTCATCAACATCTTTTAAGAACAGGTTTCTGACTTACCATGGTACACTTAATAGCTGTATTTGCACAACACTTAAACAGATCACTGAATGGTATGGTAAGTTTATGGTTTAACTTGTTCCATAAAGAGGTTGGGTTTGTATAATGTGGCAAATAATATAAAGAACACAAGATAAGGACAAAATTAACCAGACATAGCATGTTACCATATCTGAATGCAGTTGGTAGATCTTTAAATAACCTGTTTAAAGTGTTATACAAAAATAGCCAGTGCATTTAATCCTTGAGCCTATAAATCTGTAACTGTGTTTGTGTTTAGCACGACTGAACATAGAAAAATGCAAGTTCGTTTCCTGGCCCTGCTCATATAAATGAATCCATAAAGAAATAAATTTCTTTCAAGCGGTTTGCAGATGGAATGGATAAAAGAAAAAATATAACTATTTGTCTGCATAAAAGTTCAAGTAATTGCAGTTTGCATTTATGTTTGAATTCAGCAAGATCAGTGAAATGATTTAATGAATTTCATGCAATTCCTACTATTTCAGCAATTTCCTTCTCATTTCTTTTAATGTTTGGATGAGAAAAGGTCTGGTTTTTACAAGGGACACCCAAGTTCTGAAACAACTTCAGCAAAAAATCAACTTCAATGTTGAATGTAAACAAGAAGATGGTGGAATTTTTGAATGCCTGTCAATGTGAGTGATAACAAGGCAAAGCCCATATGTAAGAAGTTCACACAGAATGAAATTCTACTTTGCTCGTACAACACAGAAATGCTACTTTGTTGGAAGAATATCCCAAGGCATGCCAGCCCATTCAAGTGGCTAGTACACTATGACCGATTTATTGCTAAACATGGAAAGAATAACACAAAAAAGCAAGGAATTCTATTTTGATATAGCCCTTAGTTTCCTAGCAGCACCTGAAATAGAAAAGCACCTTTAGTTTTGTTTGTACAGTATAGTGTTTGTCTAGATATCACACCTCTGTTGTGTTTTAGCAATTCGCAGTCTCAGCAGCCACTGTTGTAATAAGCCTAAAGGACATTCTCTTTCTTACAAAGATCTCTGCTGACAAACATCACATTAGCTAACATGTCTCCATAGTATGTTCTACTTCCCTATTTTTAGGCTCTTGGTAAAAAAGGTTGGACCACTGTGCCAAACTTGCCAATCCAGTGGGGTTGGGATCAGCTTTAGCCATGAAGAGATTCTCAATTTTATACCATCCTATTTTCAAAATCCAATCCTTGAAGATTCTTCGTAAGGTTTACCACTGTGATTACGGATCCATGTTAGAAAGTTACCTTTTTCCTTGATAATTTGGGCGACATTTAGTTCTGGAAAACTCAGTCTTGTCAAAACAGAATCAACCAGTTGAAGCCTCAGCCTGACATGTTCAAATCAGTTCTTCCACGTGCATGATTTGCAGCACTGTTTGCCATAAAATTTATGATTGCAGACACCGTGTTGAGGAACCAGGTGGCACCAAGCAAAGAAGTCCACACAAGAAGGATCATCTGTTTTGATGAAATGACAGACAGTATATTTAGTGTACAATTCAAATGAAACACAATTAATATTTCATTCTGTGTGTTGTATAGCCTTCACATTCTATCAGATTAAAAAAAATGATGAGAAATATTTGATAATGTTTCAGGGAGTTTGGATATGCAACAAAGCTGTTTTCTGTGGACTTACTTGCTAGAAAAAAGCTATAATCCAAGAGTTTGTGAAATTAGTATTTTGCATTATATGTTATTTAGCAGAGTTAGATGAGGAATGGGAAGAAGAAAGACCGCCATAGAAAAAAAGAATTCCCATTGATTGTACTCATATTATAAATTATCCTTTAAGCTGAAATCAGTTGATTTTAAGATACTGCATGGCCAAATAATTGATTTGCGGTTCATGTTCTCTTCATAAAGCATGTAATCATGTAGGTCCTATACAAAGCAAACCACATAAGCATTAATGTACTGAAATGAGTACATTAGACTGCAGCAAACTTTAGTTGTTTCTGAAATTAAAAAAAAAACAACTTTCAGTTTATTCTTAATAGCTCATAGCAAAAGGGCAGAGGAAATTGCCAATACAATATCAGAACATTGAGTTTAGTATTGTGTATGTTAGAGAGGTTTGAATCCCTAGCACTGCATAATGGAGTGAACTCCCATTACTTGTCCCAGCTTCTGCCAACCTAGCAGTTCGAAAGCATATAAAAATGCAAGTACAAAAATAGGGACCACTTTGGTGGGAAAGTAACAGTGCTCCATGCACCTTCGGTGTTTAGTTATGCCAGCCACATGACCACGGAGTTGTCTTCGGACAGTGCTGGCTCTTTGGCTTTGAAACAGAGATGAGCACCACCCCTAGAGCTGGAAATGACTAGCACATATGTGCGAGGGGAACCTTTACCTTTACACTAGAAATGGGTGATCTTCTGGACTAAGAGATGCCCCATAGTTATGGGAGTGAAACAGACCCAGAATGATGGTGGATGATGATGATGTTGGATGATGATGATGATGGATGATGGATGATGATGATGATGATGATGATGATACATAGTAGTTAGGGCACTTCTCTCCCATCCCACACAGCTCCTTTTCCTGGGCGTTTAGAATATGTGTGATCATTTTCCTTCTTAACTCTGATTTCATTAACTTCCAATCCCCAACTGCCATTGATTTTTAGCAAAATGTACTCAAAAGTGTGGTATGGCTCCAAAAGAAGGACTGGTGGTGTGTTTTCTTGGGGCCACATAATGTCAATTTCTGCTTTCCAGTAACCAATTGCAGCTTCCCAAAGTTATAGATTTTTTTAAAAAATCAGCCTTATCAAGACTGGCATTGATCCTGGGGATTTTTGCAGACAAAGCAGAGGTAACATAGTTGTATAACTTTCCATAGTCTTTTGTTTAGAGAAAGAGAAGAAAAACCCTTGGCTGATACAGCTTCTCCAGGGGGGGGGGGGAGCCCGATCTTCTAAATTCATTGCAACTCATCTTTCATGTGGGATCATCCTGTTAGGACTGGAGAATTGAACCATTTTTGTACCCAAAACTGTTTGCTATTTGCCCAATTCTGGAGGAACAGTGATGAAATGTGAAACTTGGTCTTCTTTGCAAATAGCTCAGCCAGCCGCAGCATGCATGGTTTTCTTCCAAGAAAGTTAAATTGACTTATAGTTTTGCATTTTACAGGACTTAACAAGATACTCAAAATGACCAAGGGAGCAGATCAGCTTGTCTAGGGAAGCGTGTTCATTCTCCCTAAAAAGCTCTTTTCTCTCTCTCTTTCTCTCTTTGCCCCCATTATCTCTCTCCACCTGAGCAATGTGGCGGGTGAATAAAAGTGTTTGGCTTCAGTGCGGTTCAAGCACAGCTGGCCATGTTTGTTGGTGAAAACAGATTAAAACCACGGGGGGAAATAATTGATCTCTAGAGTCCAGCGATCAGTTGTGAAAAAGCAAAAAAAAAGAGGTTTCTGCAGCTGGGAAAGAAGAAGGCTAAACCAAAAATGAGCAATAGGATCCATTTAGAGGGGTTTCATTTTTCTACTTTGCTTCCTTGTGTTAGATAGAAATTATTTCTGTGTGTACAGAGCAAAGCTAAACATGGGTAAAAGGAACCACCTTAATTTACTGGAATAATACTTTTTCAAAGGTCCAGGCTTCCATGCATATTCTAGAAAGGCTGGAAGGAATCAGGCAGAAGCTCTAAAAGGAAATAAATTCCAGCAGGAATAAGAAAGCCATGTTTTTGGATAGAGAATCTTTCCTTCTTTCCTAGCTATGATGCAGAAAATTTTGATGGTTTAGGACAGTGTTGGCGAACTTTTCTGGCACTGAGTGCTGAAAAGGGAGCACATGCATGCATGCACGTAGGGGAGCACCAGAAACCGGAAGAGCAGCTCTTCTTCCGGTTTCCAGCACTCCTGCGTGTACAAGACCAGCTGGCCAGCATGCATAGGCACACCGGAACCCATAAGAGCAATAGGCGATGGCTGACGTGCCCAGAGAGATGGCTCTACATGCCACTTCCGGCACGCATGCCATAGGTTTGCCATCACAGGCTTAGGGGAAAGTTCTGACAAACCCACCCCTCAAAAGCCACACTGAGATATACAAAAGTGGTATTTCACATTAGTTACAGTGAGCATGTGTGAGAAATGACCGTTCACGCAGGCCTTTCTTTGCTGACTCTTCCTGTTCCTGCAGAGGTGAGATGAATGGGAAAGACTTCCTTCCATTGGATGTTCGTTGCAATGGTCAGAGTTACTTTGGGTTTTTTGGCAGAAGCTTTAAAATATTCATCTTCATGTGCGCTTGTTGTTTTTCAGTCAGAATAATGATAACAGAATAACAGAATTGCAAGGGATCTTGGAGGTCTTCTAGTCCAACCCCCTACTTAAACAGGAGACCCTATCTCATTTCACACAAATGGTTGTCCTACCTCTTCTTAAAAACCTTTAGTGTTGGAAGAGCCATAACTTCTGGAGACAAGCTATCCCACTGATTAATAGTTCTGTCAGAAAAAAAATTGCTTAATTCTAGGTTGGATCCATCCATCCACGTTTCCATCCACTGCTTCTTGCTCTGCCTTCAGATGCTTTGGAGAATAGATTGACACCTTCTTCTTTGTAGCAGCCCCTTAGATATTGGAAGACTACTATCATGTCACCCCTAGTCTTTCTTTTCATTAAACATCAGAGGTGGTATTCATCAGGTTCTGACCAGTTCTGGAGGACCAGCAATGGAAATTTTGAGTAGTTCGGAGAACCAGCAAATACCACTTCTGACTGGAGATTTTACAGTATCCTTCCCCTGCCGCGCCCACCAAGCCACGTTCACAGAACTGGTAGTAAAAAAAATTGAAACCCACCAATGTTAAACATACACAATTCCTGCAACCATTTGCTAAGTCATCTCTGCCTCTTCACAACCGCATAGACCAGGGGTGTCAAACTCAAGGCCCAGGGGCCAGATTCAGCCCACGGGGTACTTAGGGTCACCTTAGGGCTACAGGGTCAGCCTGGAAACAGCAAAGGACCGGCCCATAGTGCCTCTGCCAACAAAAATGTTTTCACTGGCAGAGGGTTGCAGGAGGCCATCACAGCCCAAAATGGAGCTTGCAAGGGCCATAGGCAGCCCTCCCAAGGTCCATTTTCACTGGCAGAGGGTTTTAGTAGCCCATTGCAGCTGAAAGCATCGCTTGGGAGCCCATTTTTTGATGACAGAGTGCTTAAGCTACCATAGGCATCCTGACATGAGTGATGTCAAGCAGGACATGCCCACACCAGTCCCCCGGGATCAAACACAACCCTGATGTGGCCCTCAATAAAATGTAGTTTGACACCCCTGCCATAGTCCATAGCATACCAGGCTCCCCTGTCCTCCCCTGTCTCCTGTATATCTACATTAAATTGCCTGCACCTCCAATCAAGGCTACTGAGTTGGCCACATTTTAACAACTTGGCATGTATCAGGCAACTCTGTGGACGCCTTGGGGGTAAACTGTAGCTCAGGTGAAGGACACCTGCATTGCATGCAGACAATCCAAAGTCAAGGATGTTCATCTTCATTTAAAACAAATGTGCCACCTGCGGGCCTGCAGCTATCTCTGACCCCTGAAGTCCAGCACACTGTAATTTGCACAGGACAGAACAGAAAACATGACTGGGAAAGCATTCATACAAACTATAGTTAATTGTTAAGAAATGCAATCCAATTTAGTTTTTGACCTGGTCTCAACCATCGCTTTTGGAGAGCAATTTGCTGGATTTGCACAACACCACTTAATTCAGCACTTTTTTGGGGGGGGGGGGTGTTACACACATCACTGCACCAAGACAAACCTAACAGGTTGGATTCACATAATGTGCTCAGCCAAAAAAAAGTTAGCTAAAGTTAACATTAACTAAGCTTTGCAAGTTATGGAAATGCAGAATAGAATAGAATTCTTTGTTGGCCAAGTATGATTGGACTTGGTGCGAATGCTCTCAATGTACATAAAAAGCAAAGATACATTCATCAAGAGTCAAGAATCGTAAGGTACATCACTTAATGATAGTCATAGGTACAATAAGCAATCAAATCATACCAGGAAATTGTCAATAAAAATTGTAAGGATACAAGCGACAAAGTTAAGTCATGTAGTCACAAGTGGGAGGGGAGGGGTGATCAGGAGTGATGAGAAGATTAACAGTAATAGTAGTACAGACTTTGTAAATAGTTTGACAGTAGGTTAGGTCTTTAACTGGTCCAATTGTTGAAAACCCCATCAGTGTTTTAGATTTCGTAAAACCATTTTTACCTTTCTTCTCGGGAGCAAGGCAGAAATTAGTATTGCAGGCTCGTGACATTGCAGGCTTCTGATGAAGCAGACACCCAGTAGCTGGCTGGCCTTGAAGGAGACACTGCACACTCCGTGTTTGTACTCCTCCACCGCATGTCACTGTGCACTGTACGTGGAATGCAGGAGTAAGAAATTAAAACCTTTGCACTTTCTCCATTTTCAGGCAGTCCTCAACTTGTGAGCACAATGGAGTCCAACATGTCCAATTGCTAAGCAAGGACATTGTTAAGTGAGTCCAGCCTCCCTTTATGACTTTTTTTTTTTGCCACAGTTATTGAGCGAATTTCTGCAATTGTTAAATTAACCATGCAATTGTTAAAGCAAATCTGGCTTCCCCCATTGACTCTGCTGGTCAAAAGCCATCTGGGAAGATTACACGGAGTGAACCCTGGGATAGTGTGATTGTCATAAATACATGTCAGTTGCCAAGTGCCTGAATTTTGATCCTGTGACCATGGGGGATTCTGCAACTCTCACAAGTGTGAAAACATTCATAGGTCACTTGGCTCAGTACCATTGCAACTTCAAATGGTCACGGAACAAATGCTTGTAAATTGAAGACTACCTGTAATCTTTATGCATAAGGTTGCAAATTTGACTTGGATCTAAGCAAATACAATTTAAAGTTCTCTATACAGCTGATGAGTTCACATGATGAATTTGAGCCATTTAGTTTTTCCATGCTCATAAACTCCAAAGAGTGACTGTTATGAAAATAAAGTGAAAGAGATCCATTTAAGTCATTTTGACTTTCTCCAAGGAAAGCTACAATTTATATACAATTAACACCTTAATAACATCTTTTCTTTTTAATGCTCTCTTTATAGAGATTACGACCATCTCCAAAGCTATCAAAAAGTATTTTGGCCGAACCCAAGATCATTTCAATATTTATTTTTTAAAAAACAAATAGTTGCCATAGAAATTACTCTCCATTCCTATATCTGTTTATAGTCAGTGATTTCAGTTCATATTAAAGTTAATTCTAGTTCATTATGTTTGTTTTAGGTTGTAGACATTGTGCTCTACAATTGATATTTTTCAATGAACATCTGAAGTTATTTAGTAAGATATACTTTGGCATTAGTGCCAATTTTTTTTTTCTCTAAGGTCTTAATTATTACAACTGAGATTGACTGGCTCAAATTTTCTCCCTAGTTAACTAGTTAGCTTAGTTTCTAGTTAAGTAGAGACTCCAATCTTGATTTTAATGAACCAAATCCAACACTATATTACACTTGCTCTCACTGGAACATCACTTGATCTGGAACACAGAACATAGAATAGGGTTCATAATAAGGTTGCAAGGGACCTTGGGGATCTCCTATTTCAACCACCTGCTCATGCAGGAGATCCTATATCATTCCAGACAAATGGCTATCCAGTCTCTTCTTTAAATCCTCCAGAGATGGAGCAGCCCAACTTCTGGAGCTGAGCCATTCCATTGATTAATTGTTCTCATTGATTTCTCCTTAATTCTAGGTTACAGCTCTCTTTCATGATCTTCCATGCCATTACTTCTTGCCTGCCCCTCAAGTGCTTTGTAGAATAGGTTGACCTCTTCTTCTACATGAGAGCCCCTCAAACACTAGAGTTTTGTTCAATATTATCTTCTCTTTTGACATCAGAACTTCCAAATATACAGAAGTACAATAAGTGGCCTTTTAACATTTTTAAATTTCTTTCATCTGGAGTCATTTGATAGCAGAGAATAACCTTTTGTGGGCAAACTGTCTGCTGTCCCAAAACGTCTCATCTGTTTTTGCTCACTGACAAATCTGAAAACCTATCAACTAGGCTGAACTTGCAGAGAAGTGCTGAGAGATAAGCACACTTTAAATTATTTTTTTCTTTGCTTCTTTGTTGGAATTTATATTGCCATGGGCAGTTAGGAAATGTGAGGAACTTGCTCTGCTATTCTATGCAGGAACAAATAATGAGTTATTACAAGTCTACCTAGAAGAAATTCCCTGAAGCACTGGTGATGTGTGTGAATTTGTCTACCAAGGCTATGTCTACAAGACAAATACAATCATTTCCATCAGATTATTAAACCTGAGCATCCTTTATGGTCTGTCAAATGGATCTTAAGAGACAGATGACCCATGCAATGAAATAATTTCCAAAACACAGAAATGTGTTTGCAAGGCACACACTAATCCAGACATCACAGTAGCTAGAGAAACCCAAACAGCCTTTGTTGGTCCTTGAACTCATGGATTGTGCCTGAAAACTTTAAATGGTTCAAGTACAGTGCAAGTCTTTGAAGAATGAGTTGAGGGGGGGAAAAGCACACAATGCACAGGGTTACAGCTGCAGGGATTTGGTGAACCCAGGGACAATTTTCATCTGCAACAACTGACTTAGATCCACTAGTTTAATTACAGGTAATCGACAAATTACAATAGCAATGGAGCATGCCCGCCATGGTCATAAATTGTGATGGTCATAAAGCAAGACATCATGAAATCGCCCTGATTTTATTACCATTAGATAGAAGTTAAAAATGGTGAAAAGGGTCTTCTCCTGGAGGCATCCTATGGTGGTTGTAGGAAAGACAAGATTGATCCAAATGGACATTTAGTTGATTGCTATGTATCATCTTATGTTTATTGCTTCTAATTATTACTCCCTTCCTGGATGGGAAAGCACTCACAGGTTCCTTTTTCCAAATATTCATACAACCCAAAATTTGCAATAAAGAAGTTGACATAATTATAGGTGCCTTTATGTTGGCCCTTGCACATTGAACTCTTCATTCCCCAGTAAGTTCAAGGGCTTGCATATGCATAGCCTCTTAGTCTGCACCGGAACATCCTTACCTGCTGCCAAGGTGAAGAATACCACCCTGATATCCTATTGTACAGAGGATGCATAGGACATGGTCCTTGGTGGCATACTTCTTCCAAATCAATGCTTGGCTTCTTAAGATTTCGACAGCGACGCAATGGGAAAGTGATCAATTTGCCACCAATACTTTTCTCAATGCATTGCATTTCTCGCCTCCTAATGCCCAGCCCACAGGTAGAGGAACACTGGGGACAATAAAAGAGGTACAGAGGTTCATTTAAAGCTGGTTTACAAAACATACAGCCCCACCACCAGATAAACTGCAGACTCCATATCCTTCCAAAATTGGACTTTTTGTGCTTTTGGAGATAAATGGGAATGTGAGTATTTTAAGCCTTTCAGAAGCTCGGATGATCTATTTTATCCTTATAATACCTGCCTATCAGACTGACTTTGGGTTCTGGCCTCATCAATTTTTGGAATGTGGCTCTTGACATGTTAAATAAAGCCCATAATGGCTCTTCAGCTGCCCAATGGTGCATTTATTTATGTATTTATTTATTTAGTCAGGCATGTATTTGATAAACATGAGTATTAATACATGAGATAGATATGAATAAAATGGAACATTAAGACAGGGACGATGGTGCATGTGTCTGATTCCAAAGGTATGTGATTAAGACCACTGGATATTTTCAAATACCTCACATCAGATCATTCTATTGATCCAATCAGATCCATTTTGTCTACACAAACTCCATTCACACGGCAAGCTCCCATTTATTAAATCAACCACTATCACACCTCTAACAGTTTTGCAGACACAAGCAGTAATCATGACTTCTTCGACCAATACTTGGGGTTTTTTTCCCCCTCTTCTTTCCCTCAAAATAATGCTATGTTTAGATACTTCTGTAGATTAGCCTTAAAAGCTTGGAGAAGATGCTCATGTGTGCCTTTGGGTCAGTCTTATCTTCTGGCAATTTACTGGACAAGTCCCTGGAGGGCATTTTGCCCCTGCAGGTGAAATTTTCAGAAGTGGTTTCTCATAGCCTTCTTTCTAGGACTGAGGCAGTATCACTGGCCCAAAGCTATCCAGGTGACCCATGGCAGGACTAGAACTTACTAGCCCAGTACTTTTAATCACTATCCCAAATGTCTCTCTAATACAGGAGTCTTCAAACTTGACAGGTTTAAGACTTGTGGACTTCAACTCCCAGAATTCCTCCTCCAGTCATGTTAGCTCAGGAATTCTGGGAGTTGAAGTCCACAAGTCTTAAAATTGCCAAGTTTGAAGACCCTTGCTCATTCTAACACATCCTACTTAATGTCTTTACTGATGATGATAGCAAGTTGATTTTTGCATTTTTGGCGTTCAAGTGCTTCAGCTCTTTATTCCCCTAAATTTAATGTTGCAAGTCTTTGTTAGAGTGCTGCTTCTGTTAGCCTTTATCTATTAAACTGTAAGAAGCTTCTTAGTGAAAAATAACGAGAAATAGGAAAGTAAACCCTGAGGCTTTTCTTGACTGTAATATTTATAATGGACCATGTCTTGTGTTAGATCCAGCAAAGTTCCAAGATCCTTAAATCTATTTTAAAAAAGGTGGGTGGGACATCTTTAACAATAGATTACGTGTTTTTGTATATTTTTCGTGTTGTCTTTTATAGACAGGCCTCATTACATGACTCAAATAAGCATCGTTGCTTTACCTCACTCCAAGCAGAGATCACCCATTGAAGACGCTCATTTTTAGGGCATCGTCCCAACACGCAGGTCTGTTGCACTTCTGGCTTGGTTCCGCTGTTGCACAAACTCTCTGGCACGATTTTTAAGATGGATGTTCCTACACTTTTGCAGGAAACATCACGTTTCATTATGCCTCGTCCACAGGTTTTGGAACACTGTATGGGATTGGGAGAAAGTCTGATGTTAGTAACCTTAAAACTGAGCCTGTTCTACTGTCATAAGACACTAAGACACATTTCATCCCATTCTTAGTTATATACTGCATATATAACTATCCATTTTTCCTCCAGGAAAAATCCAACATATCAAGTTCCCAGGAAGATTTCCAGAGCAGCTATTTATTTATTTTATTTCCATCCTGCTTTTCTGTTTCTTCAACAACTGTAATAGTTTACAATGCCTTAAACCAGGATCCCTTAACTTCATCATGGAACTTAAAGCTATGCTCAGATTATATATTTAGCTATTTATGAGACCAGATCAAATTATATATTCTTAGGTAGTTATATATATTCTATGGGGATGTGATAGCTCAGTGGCTAAGATGCTGAGCTTGTTGATCAGAAAGGTCGGCAGTTTGGCGGTTCGAATCCCTAGTGGTGCGTAATGGAGTGACCTCCCATTACTTGTCCCAACTTCTGCCAACCTAGCAGTTCAAAGCATGCAAAAATGCAAGTAGAAAAATAGGGACCACTTTGGTGGGAAGGTGACAGCATTCTGTGCACCTTCGGTGTTTAGTCATGCCAGCCACATGGCCACGGAGATGTCTTCGGACAGCGCTGGCTCTTCAGCTTTGTAACGGAAATGAGCACCGCCCCCTAGAGCCGGAAACGACTAGTGCCTATATGCGAGAGGAACCTTAGGTAGTCATCATTTCTGAAACATTTCTGTTGACCATTTTCACCCCACTCAATATACTCCAGCAATTAAGACAGATTCTGTGAGTATTCGGCAGGAATTAGCTACCAGTTAGAGCCACCGATAGCTCTCCAATTTATCCATAAGCCCTCCAAAAGCTGACTTTTTGATTGCATTTTGCAAAAAAAAAAGCAAAAGCCATTTCATCTTCATCCTGCAATCTCTACTGTATCCCAAACACCAAATGTCCTTTTTTTGCTAGTCACTTCTAGCTTATAACTCGGGCTAATGATAGATGAAGCAGTGTGTTTCAGAAAAGTAAGATAATACTCTCCCATCTTAAAGAATGCTCATTAAGAGAAAGAATTTGATGGGGGAGGGAGTTTTCATAGCTGGGGCTCCCCCTCTCTCTTTTTTTTTTTTTCAGAAGAGGCTGAAAGATTTTTTTTTTTTTTTTGCAATAGCATATTCACTTAAATGAAATCTGGGATACGTCTTTCTTGGCAAGTGTACAAAACAGCAAGACTTTGTTTCACTCCAGTGAAAAGGCTGCTAGACATTTCATATCTTTCAGAAAAGGGGTGTGTGTATACATATTGGAATTTGCCTGAGGCCCTATGCTACCAACTCTGCTTTTAAGAGCAGGTTTTTTTTTTTTTTTTACTATATTATGATATTAGGTTGCTTGAAATGACACATTATCTAAATGGGGGGGGGGGGACATCCTTCATTTTGCTGGATGTTGTTGATCATCACTGAACATTTAATGCCTACTTTGGAAAAATGAATTTGCACGTGCTTAGTGAAGTAATTAATAATAGCTGTCTCTAGCTTATTCAGTTTTTTTTTTAATTTCTTCTTAGTACTCTGCTATGGAAAGTTTAATTTTGCCCAGCTATGTGTCATTTGTTGCCCTACCTGGGGGTCTAGGACAACTCAGTATGGCCAACTTGCTGCATCCAACTCACTGTGGGGCAACTTGTCATAGCCAACTTGCCACGGGCAAAATGAAATGCATATGACAATTTTTTTAAAAAATAAATCATTGTAAATACTTAAATTGAACTGTTGGATTTTCCCACAGAGAGTTGTCCCATGGTGAGTTGGCTATGGTGAGTTGGCTGAACCAAGTTCTCCCATTCCACTACCTGGAGGAATTGTGAAGGTAGCACAAGCTCTTATCACCATTTTTTTTTCTGGACTGCTGCAATGAGCTCTGTATGGAGCTACCTATGAAGATCATCTGGAACTACAAAGTGCCACAACCTTAGTTGAAAACTAGGTGGAACTACAGGACAATATGACCACATGCTTCAGGCCTTCCATGGCTTTCTGTAGACCAGTACAATTCCGACTGCTGGTTTTACTCTTTAAATCACTATTGGTTTGGCATTGAAGTATTCTGATCTAATTTTGACCCACCCAACATATGTATCTCAGGAGAATCTGCTAGTGGTTTCTCGTTTCCACAAATTAAGGGAGATAGAGGTTCACCAATTTTGTTGCCCTTTTGTGCACCTGGAATAGCCTGACCACAGATTTCCCTCAAGCCTCACATTGTTAACTTTCTATTATTTAAAAAAACCTGAGCCAATTTCGAAACTCTTTGAAGTATGATGGGATACAATTAGTTTATTTCTTTGTACATATATGTGGTTGTTGAGATTTATTTTATCTTTTTAATTCTGCCTTAATTTACTAGGTTGTGGATAATTTACCATACTATTTTATGGATGGACTACAAATTGCCAAATATCAGTAAACAAACCTACTAACTTACCTTGAAAAATGAGATTCGCGTGTTTTCATAAATTTTGTTTGAGATACTCTGAACACATTAAAAATTGTATGAACTGATTCTGTTCCCAATATCAAAATGATTTCTGCATCCATTCACTGATCGCCATGTGTTTAGAGATCAGAAGTGCCTTTCCATGGAGTACAAAAGCTTTATTATACGTCATAGAATAACAGAGTTGGAAGGGACCTTGGAAGTCTTCTAATCTACTCTCTCCTCAAACAGAAAAAACTATGCCATTCCAGACAAGTGTTTGTCCATTGAAAACCTCCAATGATGGAACACCCACCATTTCTGGAAGCAATCCATTCCAATGGTGAATTGTTCTCACAGTCAGGAATTCTCTCTTTAGTTCTAGGTTGGATTTCTTTTTAATGCTTTTTCGTGTTATTTCTTATTCAGCCCTCCAGTGCTTTGGACAATAGATTGACCCCTTTTTCCTTATGACAGTCCCTAAAATACTTCAAGACTGCTATCATGTCATCTCTATTATTTCTCTTCATAACACGAGACAAAGCTAGTTCCTGTAACCATCCAGATATCAGATAATCAGAGTTGGAAGGGACCTTGTAGATCATCTAGCTCTGCCCAAGTGGAAGTCCCTACACCATTTCTGATGCATGGCAGTCCAATCTCTTCTTGAAAGTCTCAAATAATGCTGCTCCTACAACTTCCAAGGGCAAGCTGTTCCGTTGGTTGATAATTCTCACTGTCAGAAAGTTTCTCCTTATTTCCAAGTTAAATCTCTCCTTGTTCGGTTTCCATCCATTGTTCCTTGTTTGGCCTTCAGGTGTTTTAGAGAATAGCTTGACCCCTTCCTCCTCTCTATGGCAGCCTCTCAAATATTGGAAGACTGCTATCATGTCTCCCCTGGTCCTTTTCTTCGCTAGACTAGCCATACCCAGTTTCTGCAACTGTTCTTCATATGTTTTAGCCTCCAGTCCTGTAATGATCCTGGTTGCTCTTCTCTGCACTTTTTCTAGTGTCTCAACATCTTTTTTTATAATGTGGTCACCAAAAGTGGATGCAGGATTCTAGGTGTGGTCTTACATTAGTGTGGTCTTATATTCATTGTATAGTTTACTAATATGGCTGCTCTCCAGGTACCTGAACTTCAACTCCTCAAATTCCAAAGTACACACACACACAGGTACATTTCTCTAATATGAATATATTGAGAGCTGAGGAATTTTTGAAATGTAAATAAATGTAAATTTATATAAATAGCCAGACTGTATGTTCACAATTAAAATAAACATTTCTGTCCAAAACAAGGATAATAAATGGTGCACACCAGTGTGTATTCAATTTTTTTTATTACCGGTTCTGTGGGCGTGGCTTGGTGAGGGTGGCTTGGTGGGCATGGCAGGGGAAAGATATTGTAAAATCTCCATTCCCTCCCCACCCCACTAATCTGCTTTCCAGCTCCATTCTTCTGTGCAGGGCAACCAAAGCAGACCCAGCCGATCAGCTGGGATTCAAGAGACAGCGAATAAATGAGGACAGAGCCAACCAGAAGTGGTATACTGGTTTTCTGAACTACTCAAAATTTCTGCTACCAGTTCTCCAGAACAGGTCAGAACTGGCTGAATACCACCTCTGGTTCACACTATGGAGATTTTCAGTCATCCAGATCACGGTTGTCCCAAAGGTGCTTTTTCAAAAGGCAACTGGATTTTCTTTGAATATGTTTCGTTTCTCATCCAAGAATTGGATGAGAAGTGAAACATCTTCAAAGAAAAACCAGAAAGTTCAGTTGCCTCTTGAAGAAACACCCTTTGGGACAAATGGAGGACACATATAGGATGATGTTCATAATCAAAAATAGACAGTCCATTCTTCCTAGATTATATGCTGGTTGGCTTCCAACCATTTTTTTTTAGGCTCCCATCTCAATAGAAGATTGTGGCAACTTTAAAAAAAAAAAAAATTACCTGTGACCAAGGCCCAGGATTCCATTCCGGTGGACAGTCCTGGTTATTACATGCCTGTATTTGTGCTGGAGTGGTAACTGGGCAGACGGCATGAGCCACAACCTCTTCCTTATGGAAAGCCTTTTTCTGGACACACTGGATATGACGGCTTTGCTGTCCCCCACCGCAGGACTGGCTGCAAATGCTCCATTCACCTACTGACCAACTGAAAAAATACATAGACATATATGGCATATCCCCTTGTGGTTCCTATTAGTAGTATAAGTCTTCCTCAATTGCAGGTCCTCTACCAGAGGCCTGGGAATTTGAGTGTCCTGTGCAGAATCTCAGCTATTCCTAACACTGTGCTCTTCTGTCTCTAATATTCTTGGAATCTATTGGAACCACTTGCCCAGATTAGGTGTCACAGCCTCAGTTGCTCCTACCACCACTGGGATCACTTTGACATTTATTTTCAACATCCTCTTCAGTTTTTCCTTCAGGGCCTGGTACTTCTCCAGATTCTCATATAGCTTCTTTCTGAAATTATTGTCACTTAGCACACCTATTTCTATCACTACTGCTGTTTTTTTTTTTGGTCCTTGTCTACTACCTTGATGTCTGGTTGAAATACATGTGTACTGATTCTGAAGCAGAGGTTGAATTTGTGGCTCTTGGTCCATTTTCTTGCAATTTTTTAAAGACCTGTGGAAGATGTGAAGCCACAACTCGGGAAATAATTATTTGCCCCCTTTTTTCAGCTGAGGAAGGAATAATGAAGGTACTAAGCGCTGATTGCTTTAGACTCATTTAAAATTATTCATGGGCTATGTTTTAATTAACAAGTTATTCAATCAAGGAGCCAAATAAAAGCACCTACATACAGATTTATTTAGTTTATATTCTATTTTATATGTTCAAAAAGAAAGAGAAATATTTCAGGACAGGAAAAGACAGTAAAAAAAACACTATAACTTTAATTAACAAGTCATTTTGGGAGAAAAATGTTGAATAAACCCAAATGTCTCTTCAATCTGAATGCATGTAATTGAAGCATAACGACATGCTTGATGTTTTTATATATTTGATGCCACTTGCATCAAATGAAATAATCTGATGAAAATTAGATAAAGCATCAATTATGTCATTACACAGATAAGATAATTGGTGCAAATGATGAAAACATCAATTAAGTCATTACAGAAATGATGTAAATAACATTAATTGTTTGGATAAACTTCAGAAACAAAGGACTTCATTATTCTGTGGGGGTAAATTTTAAATGCAAATTTGGCCTCTTGCATTCAAAGTCCATTAAAAGGAGGTCATTGAATGGAAGTTTTACTTGGATTTTTTTTTATTTTAAATGTGATCATTGTGATCTTCAACTCTATTGCTTTAGAATTTTGCTCTCAGGATAACATTTACTTGAATCATATTAGATATATGATGTAAAAATTAAAGATATGCAAACTGTTTTGAACTCAAACTACTTCCAATTGTAAATGGTTTGTATTTATTTTTTTATAGTTGTTGTACAATACTCAGTGGGTTGAGAATGGGGTGGAGAACAAAGTAAATTAGGAGAACAAATAATAAAGCAATTACATAAAATGGGCTGTACAGATCCCACTCAAATTCATATCTGTATTATTTTACTTCACTGTCTTCTCTCTCATTTTATCTGGTTTGCATGAATTTTGATTCTTATTAGAGATTCCACCTACGGCTGCTAAGGTAAATAATTTGGACAGTGACATGGATTGTTGTACATTAGCCTAAGGATTCTGATTTGAACATACTTTGCCTGGATGCTGAAAATGTTAGCGTTTTTTAATCTCAGGGCAAAACAAAGTTAAACCAATTAAAATTGAATCCTTACATTATTAACACTGAATATACAGGCAAACCTAACATTCCTCAGAATTAAAAACCTTCTTACATTGGCAAAACTCTTCCCAGACTTCATCTGAACTGCTCACTCCTAAAGGACTTCTTCAGTTTTATTACAAGGCACGGCCTACAACCATTCCCCTCCTACAGGTGTATTATACCCTTGAAACTGGGAAAGAAGCCTGGTTCCATGATGTGTTAACTACATGGAAGAAAATCAAACTATGAAATGCACATGGCAGAGATGCAGTAGATATAGGTCATGGATTTCAAAAGATGTAAAATAATTTAGTTCTAACTGTGCTGTCCCAGCCAGTCTATGGGAATTGGATAGTTACTTTGGAATTATGAGCTGTCCCCTTAAGGGAATGCATCATGGTAAATGTAGTTAAAGGTATCCTGGGAAATGTAATTCATGTCACGCGGCCACATTTGTAATCCTGATTGGTCACTAGTTTGACCCTCGAGGGGTTGAGGGAAGTTTTCCTCATTCTTTGTCTGAACTCTCTTACTCATGGCACCTTCTTTCTATCGCTACAAGATGGGTTAGGAGATAACCATCTTTTACTCCAAGGCAGATATACAAAGGATTGGTCATAAAAGAAGAACTTTGTCACAAACGTGAGTTATGAGGATACCTGATGAACCAATAAATGTTCTTTGTTATGGACGTCCTGTTGAGTTATCTCTCTGCATCTGTACAGTTTATAAATCCACCTCTGCACAAGATACAGAAAACTAACTAAAGCCTTTCTTTGACCTGCTTCCTTTTCTGTGGCCAACAGAGCTGGACAGCTAGCCTTGTCACCAAAGGATCACAGTTGGAAAACAGTATCTTCTAATGATACATTTAAGATTCATACACCAGCTGGAAAGTACAGCTTGTATTTAGCACCATAGCCAAAGCATGCCACGATAGCTACTTGTGTGGTTCTTTCACCAATTAAAATAAATGCTATGTTTTGGAAGCTTCCAGCCACAATTAAAAGGCAAACACAAACATCTACAAGGAAGACTGAAGGAAACTTAATGGAAGGCTTTTCTTTCTGAGAGAAAGCAGAGCCCAGGGTATAGAAATAAGCCTTTGGCAGAAGATTAGTCACACCCAGACAGAATCCTTGGCCAGAGAGATTATCTTAAATTAGTTGTCAGACAATGGCATGGCTCAAAGCAAGGCAATAACATTGCTAAAACTATCACATGATACGTTACCCTAATTAAACCTTATCTCTGCCTTTTTGTGATTCTCTTACAGTTTCCTCTGCATCTCCTGCAGTGTGTGTTTGTGTGTATGTGTACAAGTGCTTACGTGTCAGCTACCAGACTCCTTATTACAGGGGAGCAGAACGTAAGAATGCCAATGAGCTCAGAGGTGGGATTCAACCAGTGTTACTACTGGTTTAGTGACTACATTTTGCTCTGTGCACGCGTGTAAGAAACCTTAAACTATGCCGCCCAGACAACTGAAAAGCACTGCATGGAGGTGCACAGCGTTTGAAAAGCCACTTTTTTCCTGCTTTTTCAACCTCAGCTGTGCCGTGCAAAGCAGCTGAGATTGAAAAAGCAGGAAATAAAGGACAGGTAAGAGTCCGGGCAGGCGGGTGGGCCAAAGAGCAGCAAACACAGAACCAATTCAGTGTCTGCTGCTCTTCAGAGCTACTGGTTCTACAGAGCCGGGCAGAACTGGTAGCATCCCACCCCTGAATGAGCCCTAAGTTGGTGCCTCAGAATTGGAAGTCATCAGGTTAACTTGTTTAACATTAATGTTAAGTATTAACAACTATCTCCACCACTCTTTACATCTACCCTTGCTTTCTTCTGATTGGTTTTGGAGGACATCCCCTGGAAAGTCACTCAAAAGTCCAATATGGATCTAAGTGTGGATCATGATGACAGGAAGGAGCATTGTGATTAGGAATTTGTATGCAGTAGAAAATCACTATCAGTGGAGAGTCTCAAGTAACAATCGTGGAAGGTGCAAAATAATTTCCAGATAAATAGGGCTGGGCAAATCTTCACATACTTTACTCATTAAGAGCTTGAGCTAAAGCATTTCTTCATAGCAAAACTGTACTGTACTGAATTTACAAATAGTAAAACAGAGTAGCTCCCTTGTTTCTTTTTGTTGGGTATCTTGAAGCATAGATCTTTCTGGTAATTTATCTAAAATCACATTTAACTACAAAAGAATTCTCTTTAAGAATTCAGAGCTTTCTCAGTCTGGTCTGCAATTGTCCAAATTCACTGAAATTGATCAGCACTAGATGCTCATTATCTAAAGATATAATCCTCAAAAAAAGTTTGTTCTTTGCATATAAAGTTTCAACTGTGAATAAGATATGGCTTGATTTTATCCTGATTAGGACCTGTTTATTGCACAAGCTGAACATTTTATCAGTCCCTTGCTATTGTCCTGCCCTCAGAGAATAGGTCAACCCGCTCTTCTCTGTGACAGTATCTCAGATATTGGAAGACTGCTATCATAGTCATTCTCTTCATTAGACTGGACAAACTCAGTGTGATGACCCAGGGCACAAAGGCATCACAATCAGATACTCAGTAGGAATCCCTTTATTAGCTCCAACTTTGCCCCCAATGTCCTGGTTACCCTTCTGGGCTGGAAAAAAACTCTCCCGGAATCAAGTCCAAAACGTGGTCAACAAAAACTGTAATTATAAGTTCAATCAAGGCAAGATGAGGTAATTAGTTCAGCAGGACAAGAGAAGGAATTCCAGACATAAAAGAATGGCAGTAATTCAACACGGTTGGGAGGATGCCAGGAACGCAGATAACCAAAGTCAACACAAGATAAACTCACATTTGTTCCCAGAAGATGCTGCATCTCTTTTAAACTCTCTTCCCAAGTGTGGCTAATGAAGGGAATCAGGGCCCTTTCCTCCCCCGTAAGCCATGCAACCCACATTGCTCTCTGTTCCTCCCTGCATGCCCTAGGATGGAGTGGGCCAATATTCCTCTGAACTCCCTCTCTCTTGTTCTACCTCTCTCCTGCTCTGCCCAGCCAGACCTTGCCCTTCCTCAGTTTCCTCCAAAGCCAATGGAGCCCCACTCCCACTCCCTATCAACTGTTCATCTTCCTCCTCAGATTCAGACTCCGACAGGGGCATGACACCCAGTTCCTGCAACCATTCATCATATGTTTTAGACTTCAGACCATTTATCATCTTTGTTGCTCTTCTCTTCATTCTTTCTAGAGTCTCAACATCTTACTTTATTGTATTGTATTGTGTATTGTATTCTATTGTACCTTCAGTTACTTCAGTGCAGAGACAATCTAGGACTGTCTGAGTCAGAATTCAAGCTTTTTGCTCCACTGCTTGTCTATGCAAGCAGCACAGTTAAATCTTCACAGTTGCTCCACAATCATCCTTAAACTCTAGTTACATTTGGGGATTGTCAGTTAAAGCAAAAGTCTATACTTACTAGGCTGGGCAAGGATTTGCATTGCACATCATTGTTTCTGTTAAAGGTTTTGTCCTTGGGCCACAAAATGAAGAATTTACACGGGTTTGATGATCCTGTAAACACACAGCTTTGGCTATCAAATGCCCTGCAAGGAATTTTATTAAAAAAAAAAAAACATTTAAAGGAAATACAGAAGATACTAAATAATTCTCACAAAAATATAAAGACATCTAACATGCTGATACCATTGGTTTAATTCTTCATGCCTATTTCCGCCCATCTTATTATTTAAATAGCAGTAGATAACATTGTCTTAATGAATCCCATTCTCAAGCTTGCAAAACTCTTGCTAATTCTTTATTTTTGTTATTCTAATGTCAAAATGTTATACCAACACAGGTCCCATGGTGCAAAGCCAAAGCCGGACTGGTACTTCCAACAATGCTTCTAAGAGGCCTCAGAGGCATTCTTAAAAAATATAAATGGTGGGTTTTTGATTACCTGTTTAGAAACATTATAAATGTATGCTAGAGTGGCCACAAATATTCTACAGGGCTAAAGGGAACCCTGAGGAGCAATCTCATTAACTTGTCTTCTAGTAAATGGATATGTTGTAATTGGCCATACCCATCATGGATCAATTTTATGAAGAGGCAAGCCCCCACATGATAACCATTTTGTGAGAAACACAACCTGACCTCATAACTGTATCCAATATTTAGCCGTAAATGTGCTTCTCCCAATCAAGTAGGAGGAAGTGTTGACGCATGCCTGCCTTTTCATTAAAATAATCTTTTAATAAAAGAAAGAAAGCAATATAAATGTTACATGGGGAACAAAGAGTGACAGAGCCAAAGATACAAAATGCCTATCGCCAAGTTAAAGACAATATGAGCAATCCCTGAAAGTTTTTTTTTTTTTTTAATGTGGTCTTTGGCCGTAAACTCAATGCCAACAGCTATGGGCTTTCTCACAGGGAACTGTTTTTAATATTACTAACAATGGACATTCTTGAAACTCCTGATTTTATGAGCTAACAGGAGGGGAGTTAACTGACTGAGGAAATCAACTTTGTCAGGAGGAATTCAAAAACAGAAGACCAAGAGGCAGGAAGGAAAAAAGAAGCAAATTTTAGGAACTAGAAATGTAATTCCTCTGCTTTGATTTATTTTGTGTGTGTGTGTGTGTGTGTAAATAAAACAAACCATAAAAACACATCAAATCAGCAATACCTAAATCACACACAGTGATCTGTAAAAAAAAGTACACAGAAGTTGTAAGCCACCCAGGGTTACCTTGAGGTAAGTCAAGGGGCCTATAACTTTTATAAATAAGATAAAAAAAATAAAAAGTATGTAGAAATACAAGAAAACATACATCAACAAAAGACTTGCTACAACTCAGTTTGTAAATCACAAAGTGAAGTTTGATCACAACAGAAGATATTGCCTAATATTTCCTTTATACTAATAAAGACACTATTCAAAGGTTGAGAGGTGTGATAAAAATTAATCAAACTTTGGTATACAGTATACCGAATATAAAACAGGTCAATTCTTCTCACATAGAAAAACTCAAAATCATTAGCAAACAATTAAGCAATGCTTTGGCACCTTTAAATTTCACTTCTTCCCAAAACCCATAATAATTGTTTCCCATAATAATCAGAATCTTCAATCAATAAGAAGCTACTGAAAAGATTTTACCAATGCATATATAGTAATGTACCTTCAGAATTTATTATTATTTTTAATTTGTTAAATTTAATTGCCTCCTCTCTCACTGTGGGGCTATTCTAGGTGGTTTATAACAGTAAAACTAAAGAAAAGAAATAAATTTAACAGTAGCAAAGCAATGAAAGAAAGAATGAAAACACAGCAAGATGAGATTGAAAGATGGATGGGAGAATGCTGAAGGGGAAGGAGGGTTTGCTATCAATCTAGTAAACACGTCCAGTGTGATGACTGCATCTCAAATCAAAGACTGACAACAATCAGCCTTTTTAAAATATCCTCTGAGAATTCCAAAAGACTCCAATAAATAAGTAAACCTTGTTTTAAGATAATAATACAAACATGTAATGCTGGTTTTATGATAATAATAAATGCATTTAGAGTTCCTTATAACCTTTGGAGCATTTCTACTCCAAATTTCCTGGATAGTCTTTGTGTGTATTTTAGCATAGTTGTTTAAATTGTCAATAAAATGTAACCTTGGTCTCTAAAAATACTTTCTCTAACACATTCAAACCTGTAGGGGTTTCTGAGGCAACCAACACACCTGCTCCTAACAAAAAGAGTAACAAATGCTTACTATACTTCCATTCAGCTCTTTTTGGAAAATCATATTCTCTGGGAAAAAAATGTAAGAGATTTTCTGCCTCAATCAATGAAAATTTTGAAGGTATCTTAGTAAAAGACTTTAAGAATTTTGTCTCTCGGTATAAAAAGTTGAACTACATACAGCAGGGGTCTTCAAACTTGACAGCTTTAAGACTTGTGGACTTCAACTCCCAGAATTCCTCCTCCAGTCATGTTAGCTTAGGAATTCTGGGAGTTGAAGTCCAGAAGTCTTAAACTTGCCAAGTTTGAAGACCGCTGACATACAGGGAGGAGGTGGCCCTTACTCAATATTCAGTGACTGTTATGATGGTGTTGAACAAGGGGAACCGGTCCTCATTTTTGCAGCCATTGCAGTGTCCCCCGTGGTTATGTGATCACAATCTGACTGCTCAGTGTCCAATGGGGATTTAACTGGAAAGAAATGAATTGAGGGCCAATAATTCAGTAATTATTGGATTCAGTAAGTTCAGTGGATTTCAGTGTTAAATTCTGCAGTTTTGGACAATCCTAAATAAATAGGGGAAAAAAGAAGACATATTTTGGGCAAATTTGACATACTCACCCCCACCACAGGTCGCTGAGCAATCTGACTGCACCATCACCCATGAGTAGCTGTGTCTTTTTGTGAATATCTTATTCTCATTATTCACCATAGATAAGGCATACCTCCACGAAATGCCAGGATTTTTCCCTTGTAACAGCACCTAATTATCATAAGAGGGTGAAAAAATGATGGAGCACCCATAACTTCAGAAGGCAATTCATTCCACCAATTAATTGTTCCCACTGATACAAAATTTCTTCTTAATTCTGCTTGGATCTCTCTTTAATGAGCTTTCACCCATTGCCTCTTCTCCTGCAGTTGGGTTCCTACTGAATTTTCATCCTAGGAATTTGGTACAAACAAACAAACAAAAGAACGGAAACACAGCCTATTGCCTGGCTTTGCCCACTCACTTCCTGCTCATAAATGCAGTACAACCTCCTCATTTTGTGGACTACCCACATCTGTCTTTTTCATAATGACCATGTAATTAGACAGCTGTCAATTATGAACATATTAGACAACTAATAGGAGGCAGGGGTCTACCCGTTTTCAGTTGTGGCTTTTCCTGGAGAGAGGCTCTGGCATTTGTAAACAGTCTTTATTGCTTTCTGATTGGATTACTGCAATAAACCCTACAGGGAGCTGCAGCAGACAACTATTTTCCTGTCAATAAAAATTGTGATCTCAGTCTTGACGTGTTACTATAATTTCATTAAGTATATGGGCCATTATGCATCCCTGCTTTAGAGTGAAATCCCTTTTTATTCACTCTTACCCATCTCAGATGATATAGAAGAACTGAAAGATACAGGTTAAGATTTTGGTGATAATAAGTGTGAAATTAATGCATTAAGAGTGTTTAATGATATGCATTGATGCAATAGATTTTTTTTTTTTTTAGAAAAAGCCATGTAAAGCAACAACAACAAGATTCTGCAAAAGACATTTCTGATCATTTATAATTTAAATGCAAACAATGGAAGATTTTTAAACACAATCACTTTAAATTAGGGACAAGTATCTTTCTCATCTCTTTCACATCCATAAATCTTCTTTGCATTATTCATGAATGAATTGACAAAAAATCCAATAAATCTTAGGTAAAGGTTCACACGTAAGCATAATTTATTTGCATTGTATTTTTCTTTTTAATTGCTTTATAAAACTGTAGGATTTAGCTACTTCCTTGAGAAAAATAAAAGCTATATTATCAGTATTTTAATATTCAAGCCTCCCCATTTGATTAATCTGTGCAAGGTTAAAGTGTGAATTCCAATTATGTCTTTGTTTTGAAGATGGATTTAATTGACAGAAACATGGTACACTGCCAATATCAACTGGGCTAAATCTATGGAGGGATGTAGAAAATAAAAGAGAACTAATAAGGAAAAGTTTCATAGGGGAAAAACAAAAATCAAGATTAATTAACATTTTTCAAGTCAAGACAGTCAGATATGGAAGTGGAGATCACATGTGGGGAAAATGATCTAAAACAAAGTCAATTGTTACTCCCAAAAAAGTGGGGAGGTGTCCTTGTCCAGAGACACTGAACATACAACATCTGAGTAGTTTTCTATTGACTACTTGTACAACAAATTGTGTGGTTTGGGATGGGAAAAGGAAAAAAAAGAAAAATTGGAAGAATGATATGTTTTCCAGTTCTATTAGCCAGTTTCTATTTCAGTCCATGAATTCTGGGAGAACTCCAACATGGATATCCACCACCGAGTCCAGCAGTATATTGTATGTCCATTCAGAAAAACTAATAGCTTGGCTTTCTGATTTATTGCAAGATCCAGAATTGAGAAATTAGGAAGATGTAATATAACATATGAGGCTTTTTTTTAAAAAAGGGATGTTTTTCCTCCATATCCACCCTCATAAGGGGCTAACCTATGTTACAATACAGACTACAAAACATTCAAAAGTGGTTGATCATTAATAACATTTCAAAGACTGTGGAATATAGATTTAGTTGATATAAAGATAGATGTAGATGTAGATTAAATATAGATATGAAGAGGCAGTTTGGTGTATAGATTAAGGTACAAGGTTAGAAACCTGGAGGCTATGAGCTCTAGTCTAGTCCCATTTTAGGTGTAAAGCCAACAGGGAAACCTTCAGCCAGTCGCATTCTCTCAGCCCTGAGAAGGAGGCAATGGCAAACCACTTCTGAAATTTTGCCAAAAAGAACTGCAGGGACGTGTTCAAGCAGTTACCAGGAACCCACATTGTCTCAAAGCATCACAAAAAGATTGACAGATATAGATATTGCTATAGATAATTTGATGCAATAAGATAGTGCTTAATTTTTTTATTAGAAGCATCCTGGATATCTCAGTGGCTTTAATATAATCTATTTTTAAAGCCAAGACTGGGGTTTTTGATTCTGTCACGGATTTACTCCTATTACTCAAATAGTAGCATACTGAAGGGCAGCAATCCTGGAAAACCACTTCAACATCAAAGTTTGAATTGGTCTAGACCAGGGGTGTCCAACCTTGGAAACTTTAAGACTTGTGGACTTCAACTCCCAGAATTCCTCAGCCAGCAAAGCTGGGAGTTGAAGTCCACAAGTCTTAAAGTTGCCAAGGTTGGACATCCCTGGTCTAGAAGATTTCCAATGTCTCTTCCAACTCGGTAAATTCTGTTATTTAATGTTTTAGTGTGACTGCTGGGAGCAACAGGAATTGTACAGGGCTGGGTCAAAATCTTATGTGAATGGCGTTCAACTAGATTTCCCTTTTTATCTTCATCCAGAGTGCCCATTTCCCTGATTGGCACCGTCAGATACCAGACTGCAATCTAAATGAAACCTAACCAATTAAAATTTAATCCAGACACTTAAGTATTTGGTGGAGAGAGTTCAGGATCTGAGATCCTGTGCTGTTCCTGAACACTCAGAATAGGGATGATGGCCAAGAACATTGATGAGCAGCTGTAGATGATTCTGAACTACATCCTGTCTCTAAAAGCTCTTTTCCTTACATTGTTTATTTCTATTTAGATTTGTAGGAGACTCCTCATTGAGATATCTTTAATTTGCAGAGGGTTCAAAATGTGGCAGGAAACCTCTGTCAGGGGTCTCCTGGTAGGAGTAGCTAACATTTAATTTGCCTAGCAAATGCATCAGGAAATTATTTTTCTTTGGGCTCTGATGTATTTTCTGGTTCTATTGTTTAAGGGCTTCCCTTTAAGTTCAGAGCACAGGGATATAACTGAGCAAAATCAAGTCACAGAAGTTAAAAAATAGAAAATTAGCTTGAAGATGGCCATAGAAACCCATTACCGGGCCCTTCTAAAAACCCATTTATTTATCATCCAGCTTCAGCAAGAAGACATAGGAAATCCCAGTTGAAAGCTATGGAAAGTTTGCATGGCTATGAAACAAATACTCTGGCTTTATCCTGAATGACCACGAAACTACAAAGCATATCGTGTTCATGTTCTTTTATTAAGACAGAATTGCCATTAAACTAGGGACGCGGTGGCTCAATGGATAAGACGCTGAGCTTGTTGATCAGAAAGATCAACAGTTTGGCGGTTCGAATCCCTTGCACTGCGTAACAGAGTGAGCTCCCGTTACTGGAGCCAGAAATGACTAGCACATATGTGCGAGGGGAACCTTTACCTTTACCATCAAACTGCCTTCTATACAGAAGCAAATTCCTACAGAATACATCAAATGAATGTTGGGCATACATCTGGAATGTTGCCATTCACAATGATACAAGCACATTTGCTTTTGAAATATTTACTGAAGGAGAAGAGAATTTCAGGGAAATTTTCAGGGTTGGAACATTATGTTCTTGTACTTCTTTACTGACCAAGTGCACAAAGGCGAGAAAGGAAAATTTCCTGTCTTTCATTATACAAGCATCTCTCCAGGGTTCTGAAACCTCTTTGGATTCCCAGGAATCCATTCAATCCCAAGGGAAGTTGTCCACAGAAATCTTTTCCAAAAGGCCTTTTTTTTTTTTCAGATTCCGAATTGTGGGTGATCTGGGATATTTCAGAGGGAAGACGCATCCTGGGAAAAACCCAAAATTCCGACAGTAATCCTTCACAGCAAAGCAACTTACAGAGAAAAAAAAATGGCCAAGAGAAATGCAAGAGAATTGTTCCAAATCAAAAGAAGCTTTAGGAACAGAAGCCTCTTTCTCAGGAGGAAAAAAAAAAAAAGAAGAAGCTTCTGTTGATTTGCAAGGTCAATTTCATCACAGCATTAGATAAAATAGCTCTGGCTACAATAGTGTGAAGTGTTCAAGTGCCAGGACAATCCCCTTTCTGGTAATACAATACCCAAGGTTAGCAAATAATGCCTTGTGACAAAAAAAACACGACAATTTTGGAAAGGCTTCCAAGCACTTCCATCTACTTACCTGGAGAGATTCCAGGTAGAAACATCCCAGCCAACTGGCATTAGTTCTTAAATTTACAGCTGGCAAACAACCCCCTTAAACATTTCCAGGTTTTCGACATAACTGTTTTAATGTCTACCTTTAATACACCAACCACCTGACTTCAGGCACAATGCTCAACAGCTCTGACCACAGGGCTTTATACATTCAAAAACCACAGACTTAACAGAATTAAGAATTTGCAGAACCTGTTCATAAGAATACATCTTTTGCCCAAGGCTTCAGGAAGCTTAGACAATGGGCAAACTGAAATCTCTTACCAATAGAATATTTGTAGCTCAGAGCTGAACTGTGAGATCTTTGATGCTCTCTAAGCTCTCTGAAATCTCTTAGTTAAATACTTTTTTTTCCTTTTCCTGCCAATTTTGATTTGATTTGAGACTTTGGGCCATAAATATCCTTGACCAAATAGGTATCTATTTCTTTTCTCTTCCCTCAGTATTTACCAGTACTTTGGCAAGCCAGTTGAGCATTTTTTGTTAACACGTTTGTCAACACTTTCTTTAATATGTCAACCTCTTAAAGAGATTTTAGTGAGAATTATGCAGCTGGGTCTGACCTGCCAGTCATTACACTGAAGATACGTTATGAATTCAAGTTCTGAGATTTGCTGCACCAGCAAATACAAAATTAAACTACAGAGCAATTATGGGCATGAAGAATAATTTTTCACATCCCACAAACAAAGCCACTGAATGAGCAAATAGAAGAACTGTAGACAGGTTGAAACACATTTAAGGAAGGAAGAAAAGAAGGAAGGAAGCTGAAACCACTGAACATGTTATGAGTTTTGCCCAAACTGATTTTGGTGCAGTTTCTAGACAATTGCAAGCCCACTTTAAAAAGTAGGAGAATCAGTTTGCAAAGTGAGTAGAGAAAGGTATAATGTACATCCATAAGAAACTCAGGTCTCATCAAAAAGAGTGAAACATAGTTTTTCTGAGTTGTATTATGAGGCTGAACCCTTAAATGTTTATTTAAAAAAAAAATCATCTAATACATACCTAGATACTAGAGGGTAAGGGAGTCACATAAAAAATATGGGTATGCAAAGTTGAAATTATACACATGCAGTCTTCCTTATTAATGGCTGGTGGGGCAGAGGATTTTGTATCTTATTGTTGTGGCCTGCCAGTGGCCAGCAGAGCTGGCAGCAGACTCGGACAGTGAGGAGGTTGGGAAGGAACATGGGCCAGTCCTGGAGTCTGCAGAAGGCTCTGACAAGGGTTCTGCATCGGAGACAGAGATAGGGCCGGGGCTGTCTGATAGTTATCAGCTGCCTTCAGAGTTGGAGATCAGTGGGACAGAAGAACAGATGGAGCCTGTTCCCAGTGTGTGCTGCACAGAGCTGCGAGGAGAAGGGAACAGTTAAGGAACAAGGGACAACTTGGGAGAAAGGGCACAGGTGGACAGTAAATGGCCCTTCCCATAGGGAATAAAGAGGATCAAAAGGGGAGTGGTGTTTGCAGGAGACAATAAGTTCAATTCATTGGGTGAAGATCTGTTCCTGACTTCTTGCCAAGTAATTTCTGCAACAGTGCGGCAATTTGGAAGATATCAGCCTGGCAGCTCTCCAAGCCTGATAAAGGTCTGTAGTTGTGAAATCTCTTGAAAGACAGTTGGCCAGAACTTTGCTGGAGAGGAATTCCCTTTAAGGTGTTTTATTGGGACGAGGAGTCTGCTTCATGATCTTGGGAAGCCTAAGTCAGAACACTCATCCGAGACATGCATAAGGCACCATATAGCAAATACACCATAGTACTTAGTGCTTTAGATAGGGGTCATCTGCTCCTCTTCCTGAGTGGTCTAATGCTGCTTATATTTCACAGCTGGGGTGGCTATGAAATGCTTTTAGTGGGTCAACCTTCCAGTGACCCAGGCAATGATATAACACTGTGATGGCGAACCTATGGCATGTGTGCCGGAAGTGGCATGCAAGAGGTTGCCTGGAAGAGCCCCACGGCACATGTGTGCATGCCACCTGTCCACCAGCTGATTGTTGAGTATCTGGTGTGCACGTGTGAGGGGCGGGGGGGGGTGCGCAGGAGATATGCTCACATGGGCAGAGATGTGAGGTGCACGCATATGCAGAGATGCTCAGCACGGGGGGTGTCACATACGCATGCGCAGGGGACGTGGAGGGGCCCGTGCATGCATTGCCTTCTGGGTGCTGGCACATGAGGGTGCAAGCGTACAAGCACGCAGGCAATTTTTGGCACAGGAGCCCAAAAAGGTTAGGCACCACTGCTATAACAGATCAAGGTCAAAAAGTCAAAATGACAGGCCCTTCACCCCATCCCACTGTGACAGGAAGAAAACATTTTGGATAGTTTCCAGAAGTCAGGCAGCACTGCGACGAAATGTGCCAAGAACCTTTCTGAACCTGTATGTTAGGTAGCAAATAGGATGTCGGGATCAACCCATGTCGTCTTGCTTTTTATTCACTGAATTTTGAATCCAAGATAAAATTTGACAGGAAGGGTGAATGGTTTCCAGGGCAGAATGGGAGAACCAGAAGCAAAAAAGGAAAAGGGGTACAATATTTCCCTGCAATCTTTATGGAATATTTTCCAGATTCAGACACTTTATTTTTTTTTTTAATTTTAAAATAAACTTTATTGAATACAAAAAATTAAAATATACAAATATACAAACTCAAAAGACAAAGATTCATCAGACGAACATCACAATAATCTCTGTGCTAAAACTAATTAAACTCCTTTAATACATTTGACAGTGAGTTAAATATTTCCTAAATTATATTATGTGGCAGTTATTTCTTATGTTCTATCTAACATAATGTTCTGTTATTAATGTTTATTATTGGATTATGCTTATTTATTTTCACTGATGAATTCAGATGCTTTAAAAGGATGTTCACCCAAAAAGAGTTCTTGAAATCTCCAAGCAAGAAGGTTGTTACGCATCTTGATTTGTTGGGAAGACTTTTCACGGCAAACTTTAGAAATAATATGAATAACTCTGAATTCACGCAACCCTGTACAGTGCATTAAGGAAATTTAACCGAATCAGAACATCTTCTTTATCCCTTACAATGAATTTACATCTGTGTCTCATAAATAGGCTTCCGCTCAGAGCAACACACATTCTCTATAGGGAAAATCGAAACTAATTTGTCAACCAGAAGCTAACCATAAAAGTAGAGCTTCAAAAGTACACACTGCATTTTACTCGGTAATGGCTAAACTCTCAAAAACATCCTTCTATCAGGAATGATTTATCGATTTTAATTAGCCAAACCTTTCCCAGTTTGAAAATAAATTCTTTCTTCTGTTGAATGATTGCCACTTTAAACATTCCATCCATCTCTTACAGGTTACAGTACAGTAGAGAAAACACTTATTTTACAGTGGATTTTGTAATTCCCTTGTTCAACATTGGACAGATTTTTGAAGCTGTGAAGCACATATTAGTTCTGTGAGATGTTATAATCTTTTTTTAAAAAAAACCAAAAACTTTATCTGCTTCTGCATATGGTAGCAACATCCGGAAAGATAGAAACAGATGGTTTGATTCTAATTCTTACCTCTACAGTGCCTGCAGAAACTGAGTATTCAGTATAAACAAATATGATATAGGTAATACCATATGGCTCAAAAGAGGCTCTGACATAAATTTCATTTCCATAATTCTTTCTCTGATTGTGTTTCTCATTTAAAGCAGGGTGTGACAGTCTGCTCAATTAAACTGCCTTATTATCTTTTCTTCTTTCTAAGATGTTAATTTTGAAGGCTGGATTGTAATACAAGCAGTAATAACTTCTGTCCAGCCAGCCTCTAGTCCACAATTTTTAGAACAAGTATTAAAAATTAAAACCAAATGACCTTAAATTACCTCCTCCAGAATCTCCCCCTCCCCCGCCAAAAAAAAAACCCCACTTAACTGGATTGCAATAATAATAAAAAATATTTCACATGTCTTCACTTAAGAAGACACAACTATATTACCAAAACCATATGCCAAAAGACTGGTATTACTTACATTGCCAGATTATAGCTGCTCTAATTTAGCACATATCCATAACACGACTTCTATTTTCAACTCCAGTCATAATCATGGATTTTAGAATTTTAGAAACAGGCTATATATCAGTTTCCCATCTTTAGTAAACTCATATTGCCTGCATGTTTGCATCTCTAGGAATGATAGGCAAAAAATTGTTTCCTGGGTTTATTGATTGTACTTCATCCAAATTTTCCTCTTTGAGGTTAAGGTGGCTTGTATGAAAGTCTTTCCTAATTTTTCTACCCCACACACAACAACCCTGGGAGATGCGTTAATTTTTCCAGTGTTGGATGCTTCCCGGGTCTCCTATGCCTTGATTAATTCCAAAGCAAAATATCACAAGAGAAGCTCTCCCATCAGCCTTTTTCTGATTAGCAAAATGCAGCAGCTAGGGAGGTCTTAGGATGAAAACAACAGAAAACTACACCAGTGCTCTTCAGTGTTTGATGATAATTGGCTTGATTGATTTTATTACATTTTATTTGCTCAATGTACGAGCACCTCCAATTAACCAAATGACTCTCGGTGCCATGCAACATATGAAAATTCTCAGACAAGTAGAAAGAAATTAATAGATAACAACCAAAGCAGTCATGTTTATTATTTCATGAGAAGGATAAAAAAACAAAATATAAGGGTCAGTGCAAGTTCAGAAAGCTCCTTGACCCAAATTGTAAAACTTACAAAGCGCTATCTTTTTTTACCCAGTAACCAAAACATATCAACCACATTTCTGAAGTTTAACTGATATATCTGAAATCTTTGCAAGACCAGGACTTTCAGATATATCAGTTGAGAAAATAGAGTTTGACCACTGTCATTTTTTTTTAAAGCTGTGTAATTTTCTGTAACATCCAACAGAGTGTGAGTCTAACACTCCGCTAGAGAGAGGTTCGCTAAGAATGGGCACCAGCATGAGTCCAAAAGCTGGGAAAACTAAACTTCTGGTCCTGGTGACCAACTCAGATTGGATTCTGAAACATTATTTTTGGACAAGTACATTCACTTTCAGTCATGACAATTTATTCCAGTGGATACTTGCTACCCCAAAGTAGATTTCTAAAACAAACTTCAAGAAGAAGAAAAGAAAGAATAGTTACACTTACTTCAAAGATGAGTGTCTCATTAGTTGGGCCAGATGCGGACAGCTTCTCTGGATGGCTAAAAGGCCGTTGATAATCAAACATTGTTCCAGCAAAGTAAAATTTTCCAGGCCAGTCAACTGTCCAGTCTTTGGTTAGGTAATATTTCTTTTTCAAATTGCGAACTGCAAGGTAGCTGCTAGAGATGAACAATTCTTGGATTTCAATACCACAAGCTCCTGCAGGAATTGTGACAATGGGATAATAATCTAGAAACAGAAAAAGATCAGTTGGTTACATCCGTGTCTGAAACATTTCCCCCCCCCCCCTTTTTTTTTATTAAAAGCAGGTTTCTATCATCATTTCACCCCTATAATGTTAATATTTATAGTGGTTAATAATTTGAGTTGTATCCTAACTTTCTGCCCACAATCCTTGCCAAGCTGTAGCAGGAAAAAAAATTCACAAATGGCATCGTGAGAAACTCAAAAGGCATTCTCAAACGGTCTGAGCAGAAGGTAGAAACACATCAGAAAACTTTTTTGAAGGAAAAGAACAGAGAAATGAATGGATAGATTTTGGCACAACTCTAATAAGAGCTGTGGTGGTTAGAATGAAGTATTGCAGACGAACTCTGCCAATTGCCAGCAGTTCGGTCCTCACAAGGTTGACTCAGCTTTCCATCCTTCCAGTGGTGGGATTCAGATTTTTTTTTACTACCGGGAATGGTAGGGGAAGGATACTGTAAAATCTCCAGTCAGAGGTGGTATTTGCTGGTTCTCTGAACTACTCAATATTTCCTCTACTGGTTCTCCAGAACTGGTCAGAACCTGCTGAATACCACCTCTGCATCCTTCTGAGGTCAGTAAAATGAGGACCCAGATTGTTGGGGGCTGATTGTGTAAACTGCTTAGAGAGGGCTGGAAAGCACTATGAAGCAGTATATAAGTCTAAGTGCTATTGGTAGTTCAGTAGTGAAACCCATTTCCCAAAGAACTGGTGAGCTACCCTTTGCTGGATATCTTCTAGAAGAAGTATGGCCAAACAGCATAAGTCAGAGAAGTGTTAAACTGATGCCTTTACTATACATAGTTAAACAGTTCTTCCAGGGATGGGATTCAAATTTTTTAACAACCGGTTCTGTGGGTGTGGCTTAGTTGGTGGGCATGGATTGGTGGTCGTGTTACTGGCTGGGCGTGGCCAACTCAACATCACTCACATCGAGGCATACTTCTCCTCCCCTGGCCTCACGTGACTGTGGGGATGCTGCGGGGATGCTGCAACAGTCATAAGTGTGACAAGCAGTCATAAGTCACTTTTTTCAGTGCCATTGTAACTTTGAATGGTCACTCCACACAAGCAAAGTACCAGCAAAGGAGGGGAAAAAAAACTCCAGGGAAGTTCCAGAGACAGGAAGTCTAGTCCTGCTAAGAATGTAATAAGGGTTAATGGAGAGGCAGTTTCTGTAAGCAACACCAGAATGTTTCCTTCCTGCCTTCCTTACAGGATTGGGCCAGTAATTTCTTCTAAGAACTGGTTCTCTGAATTGCTTAGAAAGTTAACAACCGGTTCTAGCAAATAGGTGCAAACTGGTAGAATCCCACCCCTGAGTTCTTCCAACTTTAGGATTCTATCATTCTAAGACCTCCAACTGTACATGCAAAGGTTTCTTTTTTCCCCAGCAAGCATCTACAATAGGCAACATTTACTTGATCTGCAGGATGTCTGAGATGGTAGCTACTACACCAGTCTCCCTCCCAACTTGGGTTTTCCAAATAAAGTTTTGGTGGAAAACATACAAAGACTGTTACAGTAATGCAAAGGGGAACAGTTATGAAAAGCATTGACTTAATTACACTGGGAAATGGTTTTCTTACTGTTAGTTTTATGCTGGGTTAAATAATGGCCCGAGTAGAATGTACATGAGGAATTGTCTCCTTTACAAACTCCACAAGCATCAAAAGTAGCTTTGGATCCAAGACGATGATCACACCCCACTTGCTGCAACAACAACAGAGAATCAGTGAAAGAACAACAGGTAGAAGAAACTTGTTGCCTACCTTTCTGTCTATCTATCTTTCCATCCATTTTGAAAAGCCTGCTACTCCTTTACTTGAAAAAGAAGCTAATAAGTTAATTCAACATCAATTGAACAGTAGCTATTTAAAGCTTACCTAATATATACTGCCCCAAAACACATATGACATTATGACTTGGTTCACACAACTTGTTAAGACATTGGCTGGTTTATATGGTGATCCTTAAACTACCCAATCTTGTTTTAGGTGAGTCTACTGTGCAGGGTATGCCTATTCTACTAATCCATCAGAAGCAGCTCTATAAGATGTTCAACAGAGAATTGTTTAACTTAGAGGTCACCAACATTTGCAACAGATACAGGATGAAGTTGCAAGCAAAGTATACATGCTTTACAGCCGAGCTAAACATTTTATACTGAATAGAATGCTGAATTTCATCTTACTTCACAAACCCCATCAATGCACACATCTTCTTTATACAGTGAGCAGGGGGTTCCATCCTTTACTCGGTTTGACATGGCGAAGAAAAAGTCAAAATCTTCTGCTGTACAGTAGAGTTTGCAGCGATCTTCCTCTGAAAAGAGACCAATACAACATTCTGACCTGAAGATTTACTGACCAGACAGCAATACAATGGAAGAAGCAAAATCCCTATGCTGTATTCATACTCCTTTGAACTACTCGGTAGTCTGCAATATCTTTTAACCTGGGTTGAAACAGCTTTGCCGATTTCCACTTCCACCAAACCTGCAAATTTGATTTATTAATCCCTTCCCAGATTGTAACCAAATATCTGGGACCATTGTTTTCAAGATACTTAGATGAAGAGCACTTTTGCAAGGCAGCTGTCTTACAAAGTTGGGCTGTGAGCCTGAAATTATCAAGGACAGATAATTTTCTATCAAGTTACTCATTGTACAAAATCATCAGTGAGTGCCAGCCTTGTTTTAAAACATCTTTCTGAAGTGGTGCATATTTTCAAGGTGGTGCTTTGGGTTTGAAGGGCTTCACAAAGCAATACAAAGAAAATGTCAAGCTGCAGATCACTGCCGTTAAGTTAGTGACACGGTTGTTAAGTGAATCTGGTTTCCCCATTGATTTTGCTCATCAGAAAATCACAAAAAGTGATCACATGATCCCAAGACACTGCAACTATCATAAATATGAACCAGTTGCCAAATGTCTGGATTTTGACCACATGACTCTGGGTATCCTTAATGGCTGAAAGTGTGAAAAATGGCCAGAAGGTGTTTTTTTCAGTGCTGTTGTAACATTGGATGGTCATTGTTGTTAGACAAGGACAATTTGTATTCTCTTTTTGTTTAAGTGACAGAATCTTACTGCAGTTTGTATGGATCTGTTATGATGGCTTTAAATTAACATGTTTAGTGAAAAGAAGGACTAGAGGTTACATGATAGCAGTGTTCCAATATGTCAGGAGGTGCCACAAGGAAGAGGGAGACAACTTATTCTACAAAGCACTAGAAGACAGGAGAAGAAGCAATGGGTGGAAAGTAATCAAGGAGAGAAGCAACTTAGAACTAAGAAGAAATTTCCTAACAGTTAGAACAATTAATCAGTGGAATGACTTGTCTCCAGAAGTTGTGGACACTCCAATACTTTTTAAAGAAGAAATTGGACAACCATTTGTTTGAAATGGTATAGGGTTTCCTGCCTAAGCAGTGGGTTGGACTAAAAGACTTCCAAGGTCTGGTAGAGTCGAGTCGAGTCTATTCTTCACCAAAATTGATCCTTATTGTATCTGATTCACCTTCTACTTTGGTGTAGGGTTTCCATTTATAGTACCATCCACGGAAAGGTTTGCTATTATACTCAGCACACTGCTGGGCTCGGAAGTCTGGACTGTTCGATGCACAGAGCTGAGTGTTGCAAAGCTGATAAATGCGACTTGAGCCTTGGCAAAACTTGCCCCCATGCTGGGGTCTGCAAAGAAAAAGAAAATCTGTTTGTAATAACAAATATACAATAGATAATTAACTGCTGGATGCATTAGCATCATACCAGTTTCTATTATTTAATATAAATATAAAGTTAAAAAGTTTTTAAAAAAACCAAATAATTTAAATCTATGATGACCTGCATGAAATTGCAGGTTTTGTTTCGTTTGCCTAAACAATGAATCTAGTATAGAGTTTTAAGTTCGGCCAAAAATAAGAACAATCTGCTATTCAATACTTGATTGCTGAATAAAATTGCTGATCAACCAGAAAAATTCTCATTTATCAGGCATGTATACACCGGGCTAATTTATCTTATCTTCTGTGCCTGCAATACAAAGGGACCATTGAATGCACACAAGCATATGAATCAAATCAAACTTTGCTAAACCAGCCTCAGATCTCTTGATCTCTCTCTTCTTTCTTTCCCTTCCCTTCCCTTTTAACTTAAAAGTATCACTGGGTGGGAGGTCTCCATTTCACTGGGGTTTAAATTGAGGTCCTGGCCAGTCATGTCTTCCATCAAAAATTCCCCAAAGCTGTCTTGCTAGGTAGAACATCATGTCTTTGGCCTGTTGTGGAAAAATAATGCTATAATGCAACCCGAAGGCAGTTGCATCAGTGGTCAGAAATGGCCACCACAAAGGAAAACTCGACCGGAAAAGAATGTGCAGGAGGAAGATAAGAAGTGAAAGTTTTGGCTGACCAGGTTAAATTGTAAAAGCAACAACTAAGGTACCCTGGAATTTAAACTTACAAAAATAACATCTCTCCCAAAGAAGAGTCAGAAGCAGTGAAGGAAAGTGAAAAGGGAAAGGTTTGGCTTTTTTTCCCCTTCTCTCTCCTTCCCTATACTGACAACTAAGAGACTTAAATAAGAAATCAGAAAAATCCACTTTGATATTAATAGGCAATTAAGCTGAAAATAAAACAAAATGCCAAAGGGATAATAAAGATTTCTGGACATTAAAATTTTTCTTTTTCATAAGCAGGAAGGGAGAGAAAAAGAATAAGGGCAGGATCTGGAAGAGGGAGGAGACTGCCTAGAATTAAAAAGAATCTACAGTAAAACTTCAACAAGACTTCTAAAAGATACATTTTAACTGAAACTTTGCAACTAAATAGTAACCCCAGGAAGAGAAAGTGAAAAAAAAGAGCAAAAAAGAAACAGCTTGCATGTATTTGGATTATTTGGTGATCTTTGGATTCTTGGTTATTATATTTGAATGACTAAAATCAATCAGGTGGTTGTTTAAAAATTTATACAATGGCACCACTTCTGGATGAATTGAAAATGGAACTTAAAAAGTACAAAGAAGATGCACAAGAAGGGAAGGGTTCTTTTGGCTTCGTTTTTCAATTCTTAGAAATGGAGATTTGGAACTATGAGAAACAACAAGAAACAACTGCAAAACAAGAAGACTGGGACAAAGAAGAAGCCATCTTTAATGAACAAGTAATTTTATGTGGGGAAGAAAAAGGAAAGGGGGGGAAGAGAATGGAGAATTTAAGATTTTAAAAAACAACCAAAAAAAAGAAAAATAATTCAAAAAATAAGTATAATACTGGAAAGCAACAGAAAAGGGGAATACAGAAGAGAGAAATTGAGGTAGAGAGACAAGAGGGTAAAAAGGGGAGAGAGAAGAAGAGAGGGAAGAAGGAAAGGAAAAGAAGTTGCAAAGGACTGGAGCAAGATATAGAGAAACAGGACCTATTTAGTGATAATGGGTGAAAATCTAACTGAAAAAGGGATTCTGTAAAGATACATAAGATTGTATTGTTATATTAGTAATAGAAATAACTTTAGAAAATTGGAAACAACGTATGACTAAAATGAGGGATAAAATAGTTAGTGTAATTTAGTGAAATGTTTGTGAATAAAATAAGTGAAATAAAATAAATGAAAAATTGAATTAGGAAGGAACGGGACCATTTTAATTAGTTAATGTTTTATAAAATATAAGTGAAGAGGGGGGGCTTATAATTGTTCCCATAGAAGTATGATATTTAATTGAAAAGTAATGTTAAAGGTGTTAAAACTTTAATGAATATTAATATTAATGATAGAATTGAATTGGAATGGAATGTTGTTTTAATTATATACATTTATATTTCTTTCTTTTTTTAAGAATACAGTGTGTATTTTAAGAATGTACCAAGCAGAATCCGAATGGAAGTTATGTATTATATTGAATGTTACAACTTTAGGGGAAAGATATAAAGGCGTCATACTCCAATCAGTAACTACAGGAGAAATTTTGTTTAATGAGAAAAGATAATAGATAATTGAAACAGGAAAGACAAAAAATATAAATGCAATGATTTGAATTGAGATGAGATAATTAAAATAAAATTGAGAAAATTAAAAGAGGGGAGAAGCTACGCAGAAAATGTAAAATAGGAATAAGATATGGAATAGAATATAAAAATGAGCATGAATCTGAATTTGTGTCTGTACGAAGAAATGTAACCCGGGATTACGCTACTTTCAAAAAAGATGTTTTATTTGTATTTTTTTCTCTTTGTGAAAACTCAAATAAAATTTACAAAAAAAAAGAAAAAGAAAAAGAATGCTTTTAACTGGGATACAGTTTAGTCCAGCAGGAGAAACTGTTCCTAACTTCTTTCACAATTCCAGAGTCATCCTGTAGCAATATCTGGAGTATGGCTGTGCCAGAACTGCTTTAGATTCTTTTTTCAGATTTTTTTTTCTCCCCTAGGATGTTTTTCTACTTATTGTCAGGGTTCTCAATGACTGCTTCTGAATTTATTTTTTTGCTATTTTTATTAATGGAAATGATGGAATCTCCTACAGGTATAGTCTTGCCATGCTGAAACCTTCTTGGGTGCTTAGATTTCCAAATAAGAAAAGGCCCCATGGGGGAAATCTCCTTTCTGATATCATCTCTTGATTTGTTGTTGTTGAATCGAGGAGAATGTTGACTAATAGTGATATGACTAATATAATAATGCACAGGATGGTCCCCCATGCCTCATGGCTACCTACTGGTGAAAATGTGTGTGTGTGGAGGGAAGAAGCACACTCCACTCATAAGCATTTCAGGGAATTTCTTTTCCTCTTTGAAATAAATTTCAGAAGTGACTTCTCTTCCAGCACAATAAACTTTTATAAGGGGGGAGAATTTTTTTGATGTAATACACTAGCCTGGAGAATCTCCAGGGTCTCACTCCTAATTTAAACCAAAAAAATCAACCAGGGACACATTTTGCTTCTATATATACACATCATCCTGCTGTACATATTTAGAACATCCAGCAGCTCTTTTAGGAAAGGGGACTATAAAAGCATATTGAGCCATGGTGGCACAGTGGTCAGAGTGCAGAACTGCAGGCTACTTCTGCTGACTGCCAGCTACCTGCAATTTGGCAGTTCGAATCTCACCAAGCTCAAGGTTGACTTAGCCTTCCTTCCTTCTGAGGTCGGTAAAATGAGGACCCAGATTGTTGGGGGCAACAAGCTGACTCTTTAAACCACTTACAGAGGGCTGTAATGCATTATAAAGCAGTCTATAAGTCTAAGTGCTATTGCTATCTTGTATGACTTTTCATTTTTTACAAAGCATTGTAAAATCTGATCCTTCACTACAGTTTTGAGATATATATTGGCTTACTTAGTTACAGGTAGCCCCAACTTGCAACCACAATTGGAACCAAAATTTTGATTGTTAAGCAAGGTAGTTAAGTGAATCACACACAATTTTGTAACCTTTTTTTGTTATGCTTGTTAAACAAACCACTACACGGGTCGTTAAGGGAATCCAGCTCTCCACCCCATTGCCTTTGCTTGTGGGAAGCTGGCTGGAAAGGTCACAGATGGAGATCACATGACTCAGGATGCTGCAACCATTGGAAACACATGCCCGTTGACAAACATTCAAATTTTGATCACTTAGCTATAGCATTTAGACTTATATTTCACTTCACAGTGCTTTACAGACCTCTCAAAGTGGTTTACAGAGTCAGCCTCTTGACCCCACCAATCTGGGTCCTCATTTTACCCACCTCAGAAGGATAGAAGGCTGAGTCAACCTTGAGCCTGGTGAGAACTGAACTGCCAAACTGAAGGCAGCTGGCAGGCAGCAGAAGTAGCCTGTAGTACTGTACTCTAACCACTGTGCCACCGAGGCTCTATGATGATCATAAGCGTGAGGATCGGTCGTAAGTCACTTTTTTACTTCAAATAGTCACTAAACAAATAATAATAAGGCAAGGGCTACCTATATTGAATTTCTACTTGTGACATATTAAGTGGTTCTAGATTGACCAGAGCTGACTTGTGGTTAATGGCTCCATATCATTGATCATTTGTTTAGTTAAATAAGAGCTACGTCATTTTTCACCTGCACACAACTCCTAAATATACATGCCATTAAGTTGCCCCTGGGGTAAATTTGGTTGAGTTGATCCAGGATTTCTTTTCTTGTATAAAATTGTACGGATACATTATGAAGAAATGTTCAGATCAACACATAATATTTATTTGAGAAATGATGCCTAAATCCTTATATTGTTAGTCATCACTTGAAGTTAAGCCTATTACAAACCACTTGCCATCATCTTACAATATGCTATTCAGTTAAATCCATCATGGAAAGAACTTGCTAACAAATGCAAGACAGGAACCCAGGTGCCATTTGCACAATCTAGGACTCATCTATCTGCAAAACAAGACGGAACTTGTTGCCTTGGTTTCCAGGAGTTTAATGCTTTGTTTGAGAGAAAAGAAACTTTCTTCCTTTTGCTAAAGAATTTGGGAAAATATGCTCTCCCCTAGACAAGTGATATGAAACAATGAATTTCCTTCTTGGATAGAAATTGTGAACTCTCTGGGAGCACAGCAACCTTCAACTGAATAGCCCAGTCTTAAACTTCTTGGACAAGTTAATTGTAGCTAGTATTCAAAGAAAGTTGACTCTACTATTCTCAAACTCTACTATTCCCCAAAATATCTTTCTGTAATAAAGCTACTGTATGTCCAAAAAGACACTGTATAGATGAGAAATGTACAAGAAGGGACAGTCAAAATGATCATGAGGCTGTAGCTACCAGAAAAGCAGCATTTAAGGCTGTTTAAGTTACACTGAAGTAAAGTGAAGATATGGTAGAAGTATTTTGTACACTTACAAAAATATTAGAAAAGGGGCATTCTCTGATTTCTAATGCACTCAATGCAGAAAGATTCAGGGCTGATAAAAGGAAACACCTCTCAAAACAAGATAATGGTTAAGATTTAACTGCCTTTAAATGTGGTGTCATCTACCCATTGGAGAAGAAGGAAAACACACAAGAAGAAGGAGAAAGAGAATCAGAATTGGCTACAAATCTTAATTCATTTTTGAGGGCTCCTGAATCATGGCCAGCATATTTTCCAAATCAACTATAGAAGAGGAGAGAAATAAAAACAGCTGTGAGCTTTGCAAACGCACCTGGCTGACCACAGTGGATGAAAATGATAAGCATGACCTGAGGTAGCCTCAGGGCCCTTTTTGTGATTAATATATATTTTAAGATGCCACAAGGCATACTAGCTTTGCAGCAGTGGATGACACAGTTATTTTTCAGATAATTTATGGAGGGCAGATTTGCTCAATGACTATTATCCAGGTTACGGGATGCTATTGAACACGAAGTTCTGCAAGTAATATGAGTGAAAGCCACAGGTTTCCTGCATGGCTTATGGACTTCCCAAGAACATTTGTTTAACTGCTGCATGAAACAGGTGGTTGAACTAGACTGAACTCAAGTAAAATCTAAACATACTGTAGGCAAGAAATTTAAATCAAAGCTAACTGTAGAAAAGGTACAAATTTAAATTTATACAATATTACATTAATATTACTTTAACATGCTACCACTAATGAGTTTATTAAAAATGATTTTTTTAAAAATGCTATGCTTAGAAAAAGATAGCTATTAAAAGGGATGATTAATTTTTAATAAAATCCTTTGTATTCTGTGTGTGTGTGTGTATGTTTTCTTAAATTTTCGTGGGTACTTACATGTATGGTATTCAGCTTTGTTCGTGGGAAAATACCCAAACAAAGCTGAATACTATCTATGTATGTATGTATGTATGTGTGTGTGTGTGTGTATGTATGTATGTATGTATGTGTATATATACACACACACACACACACACACACATATACATATACGAAAATACACACACACACACACACACACACACACACACACAAATTAATATATATTAAAGAATATGGAATTCTTTAATATATAGTGAAGAATATTATATATATTCATACACACATACATCACTATCAATCAATCAATCGAATTCCATTGTCACCTACCAGAATTAGAGATAACAACAGAAACATAAGATAGCAAGGCCTTACTTGGGATTGTTGCAATGTCTCTCTTGGTATGTGACTCCTCCCCCACAGGTCCGAGAACAATCTGACCACCTAGTCCATGCTGACCACTGGCCATTCACAGGTTTGGGACCATGGTCTCCAAATGGTACACACTGGCCCCTTCGACACCACTGAAAGAAAGAGGAATAGAATCAATGAATCAAAGCATGGGTTAGAAGCAAGCTCAGCTTTCAGGGAAAGGGAAGGTCAGGGCTGGAATGGGTGGAAAAGACAATAGATTTGTGATAAAAAAATATGGAAATTAAGGATGAGGAGAGAAGTAGTAAAGTGCAGTTTCATTATCTCTACTCATTCCCCATATTGTGGACGAGGAGGAGGAGGAGGAGGATCTGCTTATCCGCTCTGATTTTAAACATGAATACTTAAGTATGAGCACTTTCACATTACCGATATACATAAATCATAAGATCACAAAGAAGTTTACTACTTCTATAAGCAAATGGAGGCGCCTGTCTGTAAGCATAACTATGAACATACTAGCTACAATACTGATGCTGGGACCTCTTGCTTCTGTCTCCCACATCCACCAAGAAAGGTTTGGAACCTGGATTTTGATCCCAAGATCCAAATGCATTCTTTAAAAGTATCCCAGATCCATCATGGGCATAGTGTGCTGTTAGATTCCATGTTCAAAACAAGTAACTACCGACTACCCCCAAAACATGCATTTCAGCCCAGAAGTGGTGTGCATTCTATTGCAGTTTCTGTAATTTACCATGTTTATTCCACACAGTGTCCCTTCTGCAGCAGGCATAAACTTCGTCTCACATCGATGGCCAACCTTATGGCACCAGAGTGATTTGCATATATCCTGAATATATATATATATATATTTTGGGGGGGGGAGAGAGAGAGAGAGAAGGGGAGAGAGGGAAGGGGAGAGAGAGAGGGAAGGAGAGAGAGAGAGAGAGCACTCTTATCACTTTTAGTTTTCATATTCAAGGTAAACCAGCATTTTCATTCCAAGAGTTTCGTTCTTCTAGAAACTGTATAATCCATGCCATTTATATTGTAAAGCGTTTAACTGTTTCTACGGTTTTATTCTTCTGTTTTAATAGATTGTAAGGTTATAACTTTTCCAAATGGTTCAGCAGGTGGCAGCATCTCGCTGACCTTGGCTGATTTTGGAAGGATCGAAGAGTTTTGATCCTAAATAGGATCAAAACTCATTAGCCCTCAGGTGAGAAAGTTCCTGAGAAACTGTTTGTTGGCTAGACCAGACAAACATCTGTCATTTTGTTAAGAAAGCTGCCCAAATGCCCTAACCAGGAGTCGAGCTGGACTGAATAGATCTTCATATTGACCTCCCTCCAACCGGTATCTACATATCCTCAAAACTGAGCTCTGTGCCCATGATCGATAGATGCCATGAATGAATTGGGAAACTGAGGCATTCTTATTCCTCGATCCTCATCTTCCTCCACAACACAAAGACATACAGTCATTGTATACTCTCTACAATTTGCTTCCTGTAAGCCCAATCCTTTTCCTGCAGTTACAGTGGACTTCATCGACTTCCAACAGAAGCAATACCTTCAAAGCAAGCCACGTCTTTGCCCAACCATTTTAAGATTTAGACCATGAAGACCCTGGAGCTGCTTGGAACTCCTCCATTCATTCATAAACCTCTTGCTAAGATCTCATTGTTCTTCCGCGGTGCAAGTTCTAACATTGTCAGGAAATTGCAATTTTAAAAAAAGGCAACCCACATTTAAAAGTACCTTCACGAAACTCAAGTTGCAGAGTTTTGCTTTTCCTCCAAACTGCCACTTGCATTGTGTATCGGCATCGTAGATCTGTCCTGGGAGTTTATCAGGATACTTGTATTGTCCAGCTTGTTTGGGCTCATCTATCAGACAAGCTGCCTGAGCAGTGCTGTGAAAAAGAGCAGCAACCACCTAAAAGCTGTGCTCTTCCACAAAAACTGGTTGCAGATTTCAGATTTGAAAAATGCAATTCTCTAGGCTTGGACTTACTTGAGAAACTTGTTAAGGTACTGCCGGCTACACACCGACCATGAAAACACTCCATTGTTGCCTATGAGAGTGGGTGACATGATGTTACCTTCAGCTTTTCGACAAGGGTTTCCTTCTCCATCGTGAATCATGCCAAAACTGGGCACGCCAGGGAAAAAAAAAAAGAAATCAATTTATTACAGCACCACGGCCAGATACAATATAATACTGCTGCTATAATATAATACAATATAGTACTGCTGCCTACTTGTAATAAATATATATAAACTTTCTTAAGTTTTCGCGGGTATTTATATGTATGGTATTCAGCTTTGTTCAGGTATTTTCCCACGTCATTATAGTTGTGCTTTTAAAGTTGTAGCAACGTTTCGGCAGAATCTCATCTGCCATCATCAGGCTTCTGTATTGTGTTCATCTGTGAGTCAGACACAGCCGTTTCTGTTTTAAATTTGGTGCTTGCCTACTGCTAGCATGACTCACAGACGAACACAATACAGAAGCCTGATGATGGCAGATGAGATCCTGCTGAAACGTTGCTACAACTTTAAAAGCACAACTACAATGATGTGGGAAAATACCTGAACAAAGCTGAATGCCATACATGTAAGTACCCACGAAAACTTAAGAAAACATATACATATATAAAAGAAGTTTTGAATTTAATGGTGCAGTGTATGGTAGGGATGGTAGCACAAAACTGGGCAACTAGCACTCAACAAGATAAGACAATTTATAACTGGAATAAATCTTTTTACTATACTTATGATATTAATTGGTCATCATTACTGAGAATTCTGGTAACTGAACTCTGACACATCTGGAGGGCATCATCTTATAAAAGCTTATCTGGGTGATCTAAGATCGCAATATTTTAAGACCAGAATTCTGCCTTGTGAACTAATTTACTGACTTTAAAACACCAGAATGATCTATTAGTTAGGCCTTTGAAAAGGTTGTGGAAAACTGAAGTTCAAACCAGCTATTCTTGATATTTCAAAAATAGTGGTGGGGGTAATGCAGGCCACAGTGAAATTCCTTAAAAGAAGAGTGGTGTGTGAAACTAAATAAATGCTTAGTTGAAGACTAAGCATTTATTTATTTTTAAATGCCTCGTGTTATTTTGCAAAGCTGGTGGTGATTATTGACACAAAACAGCCATCTCAGTGATGGAATCTGGACTTTAGCATTGCTTTTCAAAGAAGATTTGCTTCCCCCATTAATCTTTTGCCATCTAAAGCCATTAATAGGGCAAGACCTTATAGTTACAAATGGTATCTGAGACAGAGATCAATTGGCTTATGTTCAGGTACAGCATTAGATTCCTACTGTTGTTAGTGCAATACTCACATATGTAAACTGCTATTCTATATCTTCTCCTTTCCCCCAAACAGCCTTGTCAAAGTTTTAGAGACGGAAAAGTTGAAAAGAGGGGAGTAAATCAATGGACAGTTTTTTTAAAAAAAATCATGTGCCTTCTCCTTTTACTACATCTATAGATCATTGCTTCGCAGACTTAGTTCAGTGACTTAAAAGGGATCTGTGGGGCCCTTGGTGCTCCCAGAGGTTGGTGGTTTTCTTGCAGACATTGCATTACCAAACTAGGTAACATCATCAGAAAACAGCTCAGAAAATCCCAACAACCCACCGTTCAAGCTAATGAGCTAATTATTTTCTCTAGCATTGGTTAAATGGGAACTGCTTGGAGAGGAATGCCTGTTTCTTTTACTATTCCTTGGTCCCATGAAAAAGAAACAGAAAGAGATGGAATGAATCTCTTTCAGGACCATCCACAGTGATGCTGACTCACCAGAAATGAAAATAAAAGAGAGGAAATGTTGAATAAAACTGTCTCCGAGTCTCCCTGCCAACAGCTTCTATGACTGAAAAAAAATGACAGCCTCATCCATCTCAGATCATGCATTATTTGCATATGGAGTAGTGTTACCAAAAAAAGTCTTTCTCCACTTTGTCAACTTTAAGATATGTAGATCTCTTCATTTTCCCATTGTTGCAAACACAATACTTGCTGCTGTTAACGCATGTAAAATTAGATGTGTATTTCCTTTATTACACTGTTCTGGTAAGATACCTAACAAAAATATTTCTGGTTTAAAGTCTACATGTTGCTTTATCATTTTTTTCTAACCAAGTATGTATTTTGGTCCAGTATTTTTTTTGGCCTTTGGGCATGTCCACCACATATGATAATACGAACCTGGTATCATACCGATTACATTTCTAATATTTAGCTGACATATTTTCAAACATTTTTGCTAGCCTCGCTGGTTGTGCCACCTATAATATGTGTTCTTCAACTCCCCAAATTACCATGCTGGTTGAAGAATCCTGAGAGTCCAGGCATGTTAAAATGGTTGAGGTTGAGATAACACTGAGAAGGGATGGTGGCCTCACTCCTGCAAAGAGAGCCCACCGTTTCTGCCTTTTGCTAAGAGAATGAATCATTTTAATTATGGAATCTCCATCAATGTTATCTATCTCCACAAGCTGGATAGAGAATTTGGGGGTGTTACCTCTTCTAGTTTTTCCATTTTTAAACTTCTGTCTTCCATAATTGACATCAACTTCATTGGTGATATCCTTCATTTCCAAATAAGGATGTTCTATTAAAACTTACAAGGTTTTTTTTTTAAAAAAACCCTACCTATAATTGTTTCAAACATTCTCTCCCCTCCATAATTACTGTCTGACTGCTGATAGGAGCATTAGGCAGCACTTCTAAAGGATTGTCTGCCTCTAGGCAACTGAAGACCACTGCTGCCAATTTCCCATATTATTCATTTGGAAAGGCGTATGCTTGGACAAACTGTGGTGAGGGAATTTCCTAGCAGTTATTGGCAATGAACCTTCGTTTCTCCAAGATGCTTTTTTCTTTTTGGAAGGCATTTCATAAATCCTTCCTGTCCGGATATCAACAATTATATGAAAGAGAAAGTTAGGAAAAAAAGAGGAAAAGGAGAAGAAAAATCCCAGAAAGAGTGTTGTTTAGTGTAGACTCATCAAACCAAAAGATTATAATGCAAAATCATGAAAAAAATTATCGCATAATGTTTTTTTTTATTCTCACTGAACTCATTCTATTATATATACAGAGGACATCTGTCTCCTGAAACTCTCATTAACCATCCAGTCAGAATTGATGAAGCTTCTTGGATAAGAAGCTAAACATCTTCTTCCTCAATGATAAAATATAATCTAGTTGCCTTTTGAAAAAGCATCTTTGAGACAACCATGACTTAGGTGACTGAAAATCTCCATAGACATCTTCCAACAAGGTGGATATCCAAATAACTTCATAAAAAGCATCTGACTGTTCAAATCCATTATAGCAAACTAACCACAAGCTGTGAAAATGTTAACACTGCCATACAACAAAACTATCTCAAACAGCCAACAGTCTATTATAATCACATCCCCAAAGCATACAAAGCAACTCCAAAATATGTATCTTAAGCAAACCAAAGTAGCCCGAGAAGAAAAAACAGGAGTCATCTAAAACATATAGCATAAAGACTATAACAAGCACTAAAAGGCAGAAGACTAACAGAGCACATTCATGAACACCAGATAAGTCAGAAGACAACTTCTTAATTTCACAACACATGGACAGATATAAGTATAGTTTCAAGTTGAGAGGATCCTAATAAATTAAAAAAAATACTAGGGAAAGGGGAAAATACTAGGGAAAAAATACTAGGGAATACTAGGGGAAAAGTACAGGGAAATACTAGGGAAGCTTGGTACAGACAAATCAACCATCTACAGGCACATAGAAATAAACAACATTTATATAACTTATGTAACAGAAAACAAAAAGGGCCAGAACACTTCCTCTCCAGCAATTCACACCCAAATAAGCAGGGGTTAACACCAGTCAAACAATGAAGCAGTAAGCAAATGAACTTTCTTATTCAGTCTGCCTTTTGGCCACTCACACAGGGTCAGATTAGGTAATCATACCTCTTCAGCCCTTATTCTTAACACTGGTACACCACAGGGTTGCGTGTTGAGTCCCTTACTCTATACTCTTTATGTGCATGACTGCATTCCCACTCACGCTAGTAACACTATTACTAAATTTGCATATGATACAACCAAGGAGCTTATAGTGGACTATAGAAGGAACAGATCAGACATCCAGCCCTTGCTTATCAATGGAGACAGAGTGGAACAAGTGGTCAGTATTAAGTTTCTGGGTGTTACCATAAAAGAGGACTTGACTTGGGGTGCCCACATTGCAGCCCTGGTCAAAAGGGCCCAGCAGAGATTATACTTCTCAGAAAACAACAACTGAATGAAAAACTGCTGGTGATCTTCTACCGCTGCACCATAAAGAGTATCTTAACTTACTGCACCTCTGTATGATTTGCCAATTGTACAGGGACAGATAGGAAAGCACTCCAGAGGGTTAATGTCATTGCTCGGAAGATCATGGGTTTCCTTCTCCCCTCTTTGGAAGAGCTTTATAGCTCCTGCTGCCTTAAGAAAGTTAAAAACATTCTCAAAGATCCATCTCAACTAAACAACAGCCTAATCAAGGAACTACGAAGGAGAAAACAACATTTCCACCAGTTCTGTAAGGACAAGTTACTATATATAAATAAGCCATGTTATGTCCAAAGGCATTCAATTGCTACCCTTTCTGGTAAGCAAGTGTCTAAAAATAGGACCTTAATCAAACTATAAAAAAGGAATATGAGTTAAAGAAAAACTACATATAAAAATGTTCTGGCCTCATTGTTAAGTAGGTCATTCCTTTAACAGAATACAAATTGGATACATAGAGAAATACATGGCTGAATCTCTGGATAATCCCTGTTTTTTCTGACCTTGCCTCTGGATTAACATCTCTCTTTACTTTCCCTCACCCTGTGATTGTGTCTTATGGTTTTGGCCTGTCAGTTCATTTTGCCACTTATCTATGTGGTGATCTGATCCACAGACCCATGAAGGGACCTAACCAATCCCTGTTATCATAATATTACTCTGAGAAAAGAAGGGTAGAATTATATCACAACAGGATTAACCAATCTGTGGTGATTAAGCAGACTTTTGAAACAGGAAAAAAATTGATTCTGAGAAGAAGGTTGTGGGCATGCCTCAGTTGTAACTGAGTGTGTCCCTCCCATAGTTCTGCCTCTCTCCCTCCCCTCCCCACTCCCCCACAAAACAGTGCACATCTCAATTCAAAAGGTCCAAGGACTGAATTCCGACACTCATTTTTTATGGTTCGCCTCCCACCCACCCACCGAAACAACGCCTGGCAAAAATTAGCACTGGGTTAGGATTAGTCTTTTAATTCCTCATTTCCTTTCAGATGAAGAGGAATCAGTCAAAGGGCCACTCATGCAGACATGAGGTCAGAGCCAGTTTTTCACTGTGTGTTTACAGAGTCGGGACTGAATAGCTTGGAACAGCTCATGCAGAATTGGGGATTCACCCAGCATGTGAAGACTGCAGCTTTTGGCTGTTGATTAAAAAAAAGGGATGAGCTGAATGGAGCTGTCAACCAACAAAGGAGAGCTTCTGTGTGGGAGACATTTCTATAGAGTGTCCTCACAAAAGGACATTTGGGTTTAATCTTGATACCATGCTCAAAGCCATGGTTAGATGCTACAGAACCCATGGGAATGCAGGGGTATGAAGAACCATCTCTTGTTTGAATATGTCCCTTGCTGGTCCTTATTATAAATGCTAAGTGCAAAACAGTAGGTGTTAAAATCTCAAATGTGTAATAAAATGCATTCAAAATAGCTGTGTGACCGCAAGGACTACAACACAATTCTTCCAATGTAGGAAGATAAATGTACTTAATGAAACAAGGAAATACCTATTGAACCCAGCATCTTCAGATAAAGACTCATAATCTGTGTTAAATAAGTTTCCATCAGCTCCAGCCATTAAAGACAATGGATATTTAAAAACAAATAACCTAGGTCTATTCAGAAAAACCTTTTAGAAAAGCAAGCAAAAGTTCCAATATTCCAAATAACGTAATGAATCTTTCAATAAACATGTATGCTGTAAACCAAATGTCTCATTCATATCTGATAATCAAGTCTATAATTCAGTTTTATTCTTATCAAATGCTTGGCAAACCAAGAGAATACATATCAAATGCATTCTTTATGTTGCTAGAGAATCAAATTCATAATGCAAATACCAAGACATTTGTGAGAAAGGAGTCCCAACTGACTTTTCTTTAAAATATTGGCATGCCCATATTTTTCCAAATGTTGATGCCTCCCCCAAAGTCATATCAATATTTGGAGGCAAAATGACTTTTTGGGGTAGCCCCCATCTAAATATTATGCTAGAGTTTCATACATCAATTTTGACTTTGAACTGTCCTCTGACATTTCTCTATAACCTTTGGTGATTAAAGATATTGTCTTCTCCTTCTGTTATAATGCCACTATAATCCTATGACCAGATCTCCAAACCCAAAATTTACATCAAACTGAGCATTAATAGCTCAGGGCACCACGTTACGATACCAAGATTACAATGAATTAAAAGCATTTATTTTTGATGCATTTGGTAGGGATAAAATGCATGAGAAATTGCTTACTTGTGTCCAGATTCATGGGCAATAGTAAATGCCAAACCAAGGCCAGTATCTTCATTGATGGTGCAACTCCGGTATTTGCTGCACATTCCACTGATTGGAGCAAAGCCTGCCAGGAAATTATAAGAAATAGAAAGCATAGAGGAAGGAAAAGAATGAAATTATGAAAAGAATTGCATTCTGCTGCTGCCTAACTTTGTGGAAATTGAGGCCACGTTTTAGAGGCTGAACATTCACAGCATATTTTGTTTCCTTGTGTAAAATGGAATAGACAGACACATGGAAATAATGGGGTCAATCCAAGATAAATGCATCTTGTCTGCAACAGCTGGCCTTCAAAACTAACACGAGCTCATTTTCTCTGCTGACTCAACATCAGTCTAGGTCAGCTGGGAAAATGGTTTTAAAAAGAGATGCCAATTCTTTTCTGAAAGTCAGCCAGGAGAAATTAAGAATGGTTGGCTAGCGATATTTCCAAAATCTAAAACAACATAACTGGGAAGCTTCCTAAAGCACAGTGGCCATTAAACAGGGATGTTTCTCTCGCCCAGATAATTCTTCTTTGGGGGTGTCATTCATTCCTGCTGTTAATATTGACGGAATAAGTGAACAATAGAGATCAGTATGATTTTTCACAAGCTGTATTTTCCTATTGGTCTGCCTTGGAGTTTCGATTAGACATGCATAGAGAGGTTTAATGTTTTCCCATGCTCCTATATCTGTATGTGCACATGCATACATTCCCATCTCATGTAGTCCTGAGCCTAATATTGCTTCTCCTCTCTATATTCAGAATATTTAAAAATATTAAACCAACAGATGAACTTTAATATTAAAATTAATAATAAAATAAACAATAAAATTAAATTTAAATTTAATAAAAATATTAACTGATATCATATATAGCTTTGAACATGATCTTGGGACATGATTTATAGGAGATAGATTAAAGGACTGTCCATAACAGATGGACAGAAAGTTATCCAGAACAACAATTCTTAGTACCAACTATGCCAATCACATTTCTCCTTCTTCAAACTATCTGCATGTTTGGTATTGATTGGCTACTTGCAACAGCAACCTCTGTTAATCTACAGTTATATTTCAGTGTTCAGTAAAACAAGATTTGACTGATGAATTCTGAAGCCATTTTGGGGTCCTTGGTTCTTTCTGAGTTTGATGGGTTTTTTTTTTGCAGACATTTCAATACCAAACTAGTTAATATCATCAATGTAGTAGTTGGGTAAAGAAACGTCTGCAGGAAAACCACCAAGCTCAGGGAGCACGAAGTTGAACCATGAGCTACACATATTCCCTTCTGTCAATAGATCATTTGCCGTCCACATTCGCATGTTTCTCTGTCTTACCTAAAGTGTCACAAGGTTCATTCTTCCAGGAGCAAATATCAAATCCAGTAAGCAAGATAGCATGGTCGTGCCTTTTCCCATTCTTTCCAACCAGAGCTGACTGCCATTGGCAAAAACTGTTCAGTGACTGGTCTGCATGATGGTTGATCACTAGTCCCCCCTACAGAAAAAATACAGATGATCACTCAGCTCAATCCCCAGGAACAAAAGAGAGGAGAATTCCTAGGGAGGCAATAAAAAGTAGATAGAGAATAACATGAAATATGCATTTGCTTTTCATTGTTAAAAACAATGCCGTTTAGGACTCAGTGTTTTGAAGGCCACATAGAAACATGGCGGGAAAGGATCTCGGGGATCTTCTGGCCCAACTCCTTGCTACAAGGCGAGACCTTATAAAATGCCAGGCACACTGTCCAATCTCTTCATTCCATTGATTAATTGTTCTCAATGTCAGGAAACTTCATGTTACTTCAAGGTTGGATCTCTCTTTAACAAGCTTCTACCCCATTATTTCATGTCCTGCCCACTGGAGAATACAGTAAGTCAGTCACGTTTTTTTTTCCTTTTCATTTGTTTATATTTAACTTATACCTTGTCTTAGTTCCTTATCTAACAAAAACCATTTCAAAATACACTTGAAAGGCTGCCAAATTAATTATCAACTGTTATCTCTGTCACCTATTATGATAGTCAAATTCAATTATATGTATATAATACCAAGGCATGCCGCCAGAACATACATGCACCTCTCTGGTATAACATTAAACAGAAAAAGAACTTGCTACTTTAGCATTCTGATGAAAAATCTTTTATGTGTAGTATCTTGAGTGTGAGTTTAAGAACCTTATAAAAATATAGCAGAAACCAGTAGTAATCCTTAGGCAATAGAGCATGGCAACCATTTTTTTTTTAAGTCATGTAACCTTTAAAGGCAAATTGTTGAGTAAAGCTAAGTGAAACATGATCTTCAGCCACTGCAGAGAATGTGTGTGTGTGGGGGGGGGGGGATGTGTGTGTTTTGTGTGTGTGTGTGAGAGAGAGAGAGAGAGAGAGAGAGAGAGGGAGAGGGAGAGAGAGAGGGAGACAGAGAGAGAGAGACTGTGTGTGTGTGTATTAAACTGAGTTCCAGTTTCAGTGCTTTTACCTTTCTGGAGCCCTTTATTGATTTGATTTTGAGGAAGACCATCAGTTTATCATCCTTAGCACAACACAACACCACTCACATTTTTCATATTCCATTTGAGGAATAAAAACAAGGGAAATTGAAGGTAAAGAAAAGGAGGAACAACACAACACATGGGCACATACTCTTGAGAATCAATGGACTTCCACCTAAAAGCCTAAAGAGGACAAAGGACATTTGCAAACATCACAGAAGAAATACACATAGCTATTCCCTTCCACTTCTAAATAGGGGAAGAGTTTCCTCTTAAAGCAAGGTAGTGCTAGAAAGAGAACTAAGAAGGGCCCAATTTAGTGTACACCTGATAAAGGATAAACTAAAATATATACAAAACCAATTTCCAAGATTCTATTACCTTATCCTTGCAATTTTTCCCCTGTAATAATTCTGGCTAAACAAAACCCTGTGAGAAACTACTTTTCTCGGTTACTGTCATGGATTTGACACTCATTGTGTTATTGCATATGGTTCATAAACTCAAGAGAATCACCATGAAAATAAATTCTTCAGAGCAATTTCTTATGCAAAAGGCTTGTGCGTGAGCCTCAATGCCGCAACCCCTAGCTCTGTGTAAAACACATTCTGACCAAAAATGATGGCAAATTACTCACAGGTTCTTGCTCCAAAAGAAGAAGGCTCACAACAATGATATTGATGTCGCTTCCAATTGTACCGTCCTTGAAAAGACTTGAGACCTGTGAAAAGATTAACATGGCAAAGGAGATAAGGAAGAAGAAACAACTGGTTGGCAAGTAAAACTGATAGGAAGATGAAATTCACTCCTGACAAAACTATGAAATTAAAACAGAAATGGACAACTAAAAGCTTGAGGGACACAAGGAACAAAATTTCTCTTTGTTTGAGCCTCATCAAAATTGTGCAGGAAAAATTGTGTGGAAACCAGCATATTTTGAAGACACTTTGGTAAACATGGGGTAGGGTGGGGGCATAAGTGATAAAAGCTGAAAATATCTCAACAATAGTAATCTATTCAATTATAATCAAGATTGACATATTAGCATTCCTAATTTTTGATGGAAACTCTAACAGACCATGCAAACATTGACAATGGAGAACAAGTATAATGGAGGGAAAAGGGCCTGGAATCACACACACAAAAACTCCCCTTTCCTCTCTAGTTTTGCAAATCAGAGTGGTTGATTAAAATAACTGTCTTAGCTAGGTTCCTACTGCACATTTGGTTTTGATATAACATGTTATGGAAGCCCCAATTACTGCATTTGGCTAACCAGCTTTTAAGTTTTGGTTATCATATAAATTATCGAACCAATTGTGGTTGACAATTAAACAAATCATGGCTTAATAGAGCAATTGTCAAGCCCGAAATTGACATAAGTGTAGCCATTTTAGTTAGTCTTAGTAGATATATTCTTTTTCTTACTTTCTCTGTGGCAGTCATGGGGGAAAGGTTTCGGGCTTGACACATTCCTAAGGGGGGAGGAGTGGAGATAAAGAGAGTTGCAACACCACAGAAAATACCCTTCAAAAAGACTTTGACTATGTATCAGAATGGTCAAACAAATGGCAACTTCCAATCTCAACAAATAAATGCTCTGACTTACATATTGGCAAAAAAAATCAGAAAATAAAATACAAGCTGAATAGTCAAGACCTTGTTGATGATCCAAACTCTATCAAGGACCTTGGAGTACTCATCTCTAATGACCTAAGTGCTAGAGCCCACTGTAACTACATAGCCAAAAAGACATCAAGAGTTGTTAACCTAATCCTATGTAGCTTTTTCTCTGGTAATATTACACAACTAACTAGAGCATACAAAACATTTGCTAGACCAATACTTGAATACAGCTAATCAGTCTGGAACCCGCATTATGTATCTGATATTAACACAGTTGAGAAAGTCCAGAAATATTTCACAAGAAGAGTTCTCCACTCCTCTACTCGTTGCAGAATACCTTATGCCACCAGACTTGAAATTCTAGACCTAGAAAACCTAGAACTACGTGCCTTCGGTCTGATCTAAGTATAGTATATAAAATCATACATTGCAATGACTTACCTGTCAATGAATACTTCAGCTTCAACCATAACAATACAAGAGCACACAATAGATACAAAGTCAAGGTTAACAGCACCAAACTTGATTGCAGGAAATACAACTTCAGCAACAGAGTGGTCAATGTTTGGAATACTCTTCCTGACTCTGTGGTTTCTTCCCCAAACCCCAAAATCTTTAATCTTAGACTGTTTACTATTGACCTTACTACCCCTTTCCTAAGAGGTCTGTAGGGGACGTGCATAAGTGTACCAACATGCCTACCGTCCCTGTCCTATTGTTTCTTTTTATTTTTCTTATATGTACCCATTTCATGTATCCATAACTATGTTTGTACTTATACCTATTATCTTGTAAGAGATCGACAAATCAAATAAATAAATAAATAAATATTTCTTCCCATGGGATATGAGCTGTCCTTGCTGGGCGCTTTGCGGTGGAGATTTGTGACATCAAGCAATGTTGAATTACTTCTATTGGAGAATGTGACTTTGGGGGGTTGTTTCTAACTTGTAATATTGTGGGGTAATTCTGGGTTGCGTCAAATCTGGAAATACCATGGACTTTGCCCATTTGATGCTTTCCTAAATAAAAGAAATATTTTTTGAAGATGGACTTTGTACTTTTCTTTTTAAACGGATTTCATCACTTGGAAACCTGACAGCAATAGGGCTCAATGCCATATCTGAACCTTAGAAAGCCACTGCAAAAGGAGGAATCAACTACGGAAAATGTCCAGAAAACAGTCTTAAATAGGTAAATTCATAAGATCAGACAATGATCTTTCAGAAGTCAGCAAGCGTGTTATAGCCTGAGACCAAATCTTTAAATTCCTTCTGCCAGGAAATAATATACCTTGGTATCTCCTCTGTCCTGAACTTCAGGCTCTATGCACCCTTCTTATTAATGAAGGGTTCAAGTAGTTGGGTCTACTGCCAAAGAAGCAAATATGCACTCCCACTCCTGCTAACACAAGCGAGGAAAAAGGTCAGGAGGGAAAAGAGGGAGCAAGTTCATAACCTCATTTCCTTCCTCACTTTGAAGCAAAGCATAAACACTCAAGCAAGGCCACAGCATTGATGGCTTTGTGCTATTTAATCCAACGTGACAACGTGGCTTATTTGTATCAGTGCTGGGCATGGACCCAGTCAAATCCTGTGGCAGAAAAAAAAATGGCTTATGAAAGCTCCATGCAGTACCTTTTGTCTATCTTTGTCGCTTGCAAGACCATCCGGCAAATACTAAACCGAGCCTCTTTCGAAGAGCCTTCTCTGCTTGAGTAGTAGTACATTCAGAAGAGATAGATGAATAAATATTCTAATAATAATATTCATAAGCACTTGGGTCCTAGGTGTCTTCCAGATGGACCACTGTAACACACTATCGGCTGGCAGCTCTTGAGGAGTATTCAGAAGCTTCAGCTGACACAAAATGTAATAGCAGGAGCAGTTACGTAGGCTTCAAGAATGACATGCATTACACCTCTGCTTTGCCAGCTGCATTGTTTCCCAGGTTGCCTCTGGATCCAATTCAAGGTGTTAGTTATGACTTTTAAAGATCTATATGGCACGGGAGGTTTTTTGAGGGACCACCTCTCCCCAGTGACATCTACCCATCCCATTAGGTCCAGTAGAAGAGGTGTCAGCCTGTGAGTTTCACTGGGAGAATTCTAGGAAGAACACCTTCCTGCTGTAAACTCTGTCTTGATTAACATCATTGTTCCAGAGGTGAAGCTGGCCCAACCCTGTTAGCCTTCCAGAAATGAGCTTTGGGCTATCATGATAGGGTGGAGCATTCGGGGTGGTTATATGATCATTATCTGATGCCTTCTCTGTATGCTTGCTACCACTTTAACTTTTTATTCTGTTTTATGTATTTTGTTTTGTCTACCACCCATAAGTAGACTAGGTAGATAGGTAGGTAGATGATAGATACTAGGTAGGTAGGTAGGTAGGTAGGTAGATCTAGCAGATAGATAGATAGATACCATGTTTCTCACAAAATAAGGCCGGGCCCTGAAAAAACGGCTAGGCCCTCCCACACCTAGAGCGGCCCATATGCACATACCTTGCCGCAAGGCCGCTTCTATCGGCCGATGAAAGCTCCCTTGAAAGCAGAGTCCCCAGCCGCTTTGGGGCGAGGCGTGGCTGCCCGTGTCCCCTTCCATTAGCTCTTTCAGGCTATGGAAGCTCCCCAAATGCAGTCACCAGCCACTTCAATCGGCCGGTAGAAGTGGCCTCATGGCGAGGGGAGTGTGTGTATGCCCTCGCCCCGAGGCCGCTTCTACCAGCTGATCAAAGTGGCTGGTGACTGCACTTGGGGAGCTTCCATCGCCCGAAAGAGACTGCCTAAAGGCGAGGGGACACAGGTAGCCACACCATGCCCTGATTTAGCTGGGGACTCTGCCTTCGGGGAGCTTCTATCGGCTATCGGGGTATTCTAGCCTAGGCTACCTGCAGGGCACTCCTAAAGACAAGTTTTCTCCCCATCCCCCCACCCTTCTCCCCCATTTCTCTTCACCTCATGTAGTTCTAATGAACGATGTGAGAAATGGCGGGGAAACGTATGGTTTAAATAGGCCTAAATTTTGGGGGCGGGGCTTAATTTCACCTCATGCCTAGAAATCATGCTGGGCCTTCCTATTGGTGGAGGCCGTATTGTTGGAGAAACACGGTAGGTAGGTAGGTAAGTAGGTAGGTAGGTAGGTAGATAGATAGATAGATAATTGATGGATAGATAGGTAATCAATATTAATAGATGACAGATAGATGATAGATAACCAACATTATCAAACTATAATCATTCTCAGCATCCCCTTGTTGAGTGCTCTGATGTTATTTGTGCATAGTTTCTTGAGTCCCATAATCTCTGATAAATTTCATCTTCATTTGCAATTTGTATATGCATGAATATACATCTCCTTGTGAGCTTCCATTAGGGAATGCCTGATCACCATAATGCTACACTAGATAAATCTTAGGCCAAGCCAGATTGGCTCTATCCTGTTCAAATGGGCAGAGATGTGTTGATACTCTTAATCAATAATGCAAGTTGCAAATCATTTTCTAGCTGCACATCTCAAACTGCAAGTACATTGGGAAGTGCAAGGAAGCTGAGGTTCCTCTCAGCAGGATGCTTTGTGCCATAGAATGACATCATTCTCCCAATTGAGGCACAGGGGCAACCCAATTTGCTTCATTGAAGTGCTTGGCTTCAAAGTAATGGTACTTTCATTAGCTGGAACAGATTTTAGTCATGTAATATTCAGCAACAGAAATCTCTTCCAGTTCCTGAAAGTGTTGGATGGTTAGATATATTGAGTGTATCTTGAAAAAGCTTGCTTTCATATTATTCCCTTTTTATATTTTGCCATCAGTTGTATGAAGGACCAATTCCAGAAAATTTATGGAGAAAGAAATTGCCCTTGTCAGTCTGGGAATAGTGAATCATTGACCCACATAGAGATACTCATAGTAAGCGGCTAACACCCCTCATTAGGCCATTCTGTCAAAGACCAGATTAATTTTACATGAAGCTTCTCTTGGCAGACAAAGAGTCTAAAACAACACTAGCTAAGGCTGAATTTGCATTTGTATCTTACAGAACTCTGTAATTAGCGTGGGACCGATTACTGTTTCCATTAAGTGGGGTACCAAGTTTTCATGTTGTTCTTATATCACTTTACTATATTTCATTGGACTTTAAATTGATACGCATGGTAGTCTGTGACTGGTTATAAAATAAGAAAGTAATACTGGATGAAGCATTTTTGCCTGAGCACCCTAAGACAGACACTCCACTTTGTTTCTAGAAGCAGAAGGGTTCATACAGATGTGAACCGGTGTTTCCTATGAAACTTCCCCAAAGCAAAAAAATTCTCTTGAAACGCTGAACAATCTTAGTGTGCTTTTTAAACTAACATAGCCCTAATTCAAATACGTTGCATTTAGAAATGTACACTGCATTTCCCTGGGATCCAGATGCTAAGCTGAACTTCTCCACTGCTACCCCTCTTAACCTTGAACCCACTCCAAGAGCCACGGTTTATTTGTCCAACATCTTGCCTTACCATGTTCATCACCGTTAAGATATAGGTGGTAATGTTCTCCTTGCTGTGCTTCTCCAGCATTTTCCTATCTGCCACCACCAGGGTTTCAACATTCAAACTTCCACCCTTCTGATTTTTAATGGGAGATCTTTTCAACCTCACTTGGCTGCCATATTCGTCAGATAAGATGAATGTATTTTCAGTGGGTGGCTTAGGACTATCTGAAATGAAACAGAGCAGAGATTTGGAAAAGACTCAGAACTGATTTTGTTGTCGTTGTTGTTGTTATTCTATCCTAAGGTGTCAAGGAGCTAAAACCCTGAATAAATCTAGGAGATTACACAAAAAGGCTAAATGCCAATCAAAAGTTGCCAACCAGAGTCCTTTTCAAGATATGTTTGCTCAGTTTTTGGAAGTGAATGTGTTATCCCGCAACACAAAGAAAGGTGAACAATCTTGAAATCAATATCTCTCCCTATTTTTTTAAATTTGTCTACAGGAAACACACATTCATCAACCTCCAATAATTTCCTTCCTTTTTGTTTACAGCAGTGCTTTTCAATCTCTGGAACTTTAAGATGTGTGGACTTCAGTTTCCAAAATTCCCTAGTCAGGATGCTGGGAATTGAAGTCCACACAACTTTTAAGTTCCTGACATTGACAAACATTTTTCTACTGTATATAAAAAAAAACCAGTTCAAATGTTGGTATTGCTGTGCATGCATCCAGTCCTTTTCTTCTTAGTTGGGTGGCAGGCCAACCTGAGCACCAACAATTCCAAAACAGAGATACTGTACTGAGCGATAGTAGAGAATTGTGATAAGAAATAACACTGCAAGAAAGTAAAGTTTTAGGAGGTTTAGAAGAATAATGCTAGAAACATGTTTGCTATAAAATAAAGCCCATCAGGGCCAAATGAATAGAAATGCAAAGCATTCATCAAAATGGACCTCATGTTCGAGAGCCAGGTTTTGCAATGCTCCATCCAACATCATATTTAAAAATTAGCATCAAAACCATCCACGCTGCAGGATGAATCTCCTGTAAACTGTGTATTTTTCTAAAGAAAACTGATCAAGTTCCTGAGTTGGACCAATAAGACTTTGTTTCCATAGGATAACTGGGTCTTTACTGTTACCCCGTAAGTGCTTTTGGGAAACAGATTTTTGATTTTTTTTTGTTCCTCTACATATAAAGATGCAGACATCAGTTGAATTTGCAATTAACAGTTGTGTGCTTAAATCTAACTACAAAAATAGAATAAATGAAACATATGCACATACACACTTTTCCCAAGATTTCTAGAAAGACACAGAAGAAAGCAGAGGGCTGAAAGATGGAGAAACAGCATAGAGATGACTTTATAGTCTCACAGCTTTTAGGCCATAGACAGTAAAAGCACTACATCTTATTTTCAAGGCATAGGCTTAAAGCTCTCTTCAGTTGGAAATATAAGATCAGGAAAAGGTACCAATTTATGTTATTATTTTATTAATAATTTATTAAGAAATTTTCCAGGCTACCCTCTCTTGAGATCAGACTTGCCTTTGCTATTAAGAAGCAAAAGAGAAAAAAGAAATAATTAAAAAGAAAAAATATTAATATCAAAGCATACACTGTATTGCTAAACGTATCCCTTAATACCTGCCTGTTTTATAGGAAGGAAGGGAGGGAGGGAGGGAGGGAGGAAGGAAGGAAGGAAGGAAGGAAGGAAGGCAGGCAGGCAGGCAGGCAGGCAGGCAGGAAGGAAGGAAGGAAGGAAGGAAGGAAGGAAGGAAGGAAGGGAGATTGGAAAAGGGAAGGAAGGTGGGAGTTGTAATCCAACATGTGCAAAGAACATTAGGTTGGGAAGTCTGATATAATATCTATTATGAAAGTATGGAACCATTAGCATCCTAAAAAAAAAAAGACTATATTATCTGGTTCTTCATGTGCTCTTTAGATGCTCACACGTATCTATTGACACCAGCACTCGATCCTTCTTCTTAAAGATATTCTGAACATTCTGTTCTTATGGTGGCCATACTGCATATAGCAGAAATGACTGGCTCCCAAAACAGACCATTTCAAATGGCCCACGTTGGTTTAGTTTAGACCATTTCTGAAGCTGTTGGAAAGGTCTGCTCCAAGATAGAAAATTCTGTGACAGACTCTTCAGACACTTCTGCATCTGAATCAAGCCTACAAACCTTGAGTACAACAATAAGAAGCTAATATGCTTAGGGTCATTATGTCAAAGAGAGAGAGGAAAAGAGAGAGAGAAAGAAAGAGAAAGTGTCCTTACATACATTTCTTGCGCCGTCCACAAAAATGCTGCTTTTGAAACCTTCCATGGCGGTAATCGTTAGCTGGAATGTGGTACTTGTGGGCAGTGAGATTGCTGTGACGGTCAGGGGGAAAGTGGTAAAGATTTGGATCTACTTTGTGCTGGTGCACTTTCTCTTCGGCTGTCCGTTTATACAATACATGAGGGTGGTGTCCAGCAGGTGGCATATAGTGAAGTTGCTGTGCTAGGTGTTGAGGTAATGGTGATATAAGGAAGTCATTCTCCTGTGTCCTTATCAAACCTGACTAAAGACAGAAATATAAAGGAAACTAATGGTTATAAACAGATTCACTAAAAAAAGTTTTCTCAAATGCAGTCACAAATGATCAGCTTAGATCCTTCTTTGAGGCATCTATTCAGATGGATGATCCAACAATCCTCTAATATCTCTAAACCCCTACTGGTGTCAGTATATGGTCTATAGTGCTAGGTTTTTCCAATAGCTACCCAAACTTACACTAGGTAAGTTTTAAAACCATCAAAACAAGTGGGTATCATAAAGACTTTTCTTGGATGAAGATCTGGAAAGGCTCCAACATTTTTCAGAAGGAAACACCAAAGGAATGCCAAAAGAAGCAAATAAGTTTAAAGAGAAGCTTATTTCCTTCTCCAATTCCTCCTCCTCCTTTTCACATCCCAATCTAGAAAAGTTTCATCCATCAAAAGTACTTTTAGAAAGTTCTTGCTTTCTAGAAGGGTCTTGTGCATAAAATAAAAAATAAAAAATTGCACAAGGAATTCTGTCTTTATTCTCCTAATCTACCACTGCTTCACTCAAGCTAATTCACCCTGGATCTACCTTTGTTCTAGAGACGTATACTTAATACTTAATTATGATGAAGCTTCAAACAAAGCATCCTTTCAACCAATGAAAGCTAGGATTCCAATAATGGAATCCTAGCTTTTAGGCCTGAAGATGGCATCCATATTGTTTTACTTCAATCTTCATAATGCTTTCTCTGATATTTCCTGCAATCTTGGCTGAAAAAAATTACATCCATGTGACTCCATACAGATTCAGGAAATATGTGCTGGAGGGACTTCTTGGAGAAATACTATAAAATACTGTAAAAAACATACTAAGAAGTCTTCCAAGTTAGGGTGGCCATAAGGAATTTCAAAGCACTCCTGGAAGGCAGTCTAAAATCTAGAATCTACAGCCACCTTAATGCAGCTTTTGGATGACACTGAAGGTACCAAGTTACAAGATGACTCCCAAGTTGATTACCATCATTACAGATTGTAAGTTTATTTCAAGCCATATTACCAAAAAGCCTTTCAACCAGCAGCACAGAAAGTTAGTAGGAGCCTTCCATCACACTTTTGGCCAGAAGCAATCAGCTGAACAAACCAGCAGCACATGGTTGAAGCACATCTATGTTACTATGTCCTTCGTGGATGGTAGTTTAACCTCTGTTTCAGAACCACAAGAGATATAGATTCTTCCATCTGGGGCCATCAAGTATCTCCCAAATCAATAGGTCTGATTAAGACCCTGTTCCTATTACAAAGCCTCATCTGCCAAACCACAACTAAAGGCCAGTTTGAGAGACACTGCGTCCACCAACATAAATGTTTAATTATACATATGAAATGCTTCAGTTACATTCTGCATCTGCATTTCAACTAAACTGCCTGGGATAGAAAATCAATAGAACCATATTTGAACCTCTGCCCAAACCAAGGCAGGCTAAAATAATTTAATGCATGCTAGTACATCTAAATGCACAGCCACTACCAGTAGTAGACTGTACACTTTAAAAAATGTTGCATGCAAACAGTGGTACATATTCCTCCTTTCATTTAAAGGAGGCCTGAAATCTTTGCTTTTGTTTTTTTTTTTATTTAAGTAGGAAAACCCACTTTTGTGCATTTAATTAGAAGGCAAAGTCAGTTGCATAAAACCATAAATGAAGGCAGCTGTCAACCAAACTAGCCTTTTCAAATTCCTCATCCATTCACTCCATACAGCATGGCAAGGAAGTCTTATCAGCCATCTTCAACCAACAGAGTCTCTTTTCTTGGGGTAAAACTGAGGACTCTTGGTTTATCCTACTGGCTGTGGAATTCTCAGAGTTGAAGTTGAAGTTGCCAAGGTTGAGAAACACTGGCCTAGCTTCTAAAGGTCTACTTTTAGACCATACATCAAATACATAAAGGACGATCAGAATAGAGGCAAGAACTTAAGAAGGTGCTTGCATTTGAGCCTGGGAATAACAAAGCTAATAGGTTTTAGCCTCTCTGCAAATAAATCCAAAATAATGAACTGGCTCACATACTCAGTCCCAGTTTTTTGTAAATTAGCATGCCAAAGTCTGCCCCACAAATTTTCAATCAGGGGTGGGATTCTACCGGTTCTGTCCACCTTTGTAGAACCGGTTGTTCTGAAGAGCAGCAGACACAGAACCAGTTCTATGTCTGCTGCTGTTTTGGCACACCTGCCCGGCTGGGCTCTTACCTGTCCTTTATTTCCTGCTTTTTCAACCTCAGCTGCTTTGTGCAGCATAGCTGCAGTTGAAAAAGCAGGAAAAAAGGGCTTTTCCAACTGCCGTGCACCTGCATGCAACGCTCCTCAGCTGTCCGGGCAGCTCAGCAGGTCATAAATTGCATTCGTGTGATGCAGAGCAACAGAACCGGTAGTTATACCGGTCGAATCCCATCCCTGTTTTCAATTCTAATATTTTGATTTCTGCTCTACAGTTGCTGCTGTTTTTCTCATAGCTAAACAAATATTCTGCTGGACCTGTTTATTTTATGAGAAGGATACTGATCTTGTGCAGGTCCATGTATTAATCTCATGCTACAGCCATCGTGACTAATGTGGTACCATGCAATTACCCCACCCTCAATACAGAAGTTTACTGATCTTCTAATTTATTCTCAGAATGCTGGATAATTGTTTTCTTCTTTCCCTTGGCATTTGTTTATCAGTCAATTTCAGAAATTTGCTGATGATTGTTATATGAGATGTGTAATTTTACTACTGTGCTGTTGTTGAAACTAATTTTTCTGTTAGACATCTTCCCATCATTCTGAAGCATCGTTGGTTGTTCCACTTTCCCATTCTAAAGAACTCCAATGACAGTTCTGTGAGATTTCATCAGAGCTATAAACCTTTATTGACTGTTTTTATAAATATTTGCACATCTTAGTTGGGTTTTCCAAGATGATTCTTGGCAGGAACAAAAGAAACAAAGGAACATTTTCTTTGTGCTGGCAAATCTGGACATCTTGAAGAGATAGTTTGCTCTCCTAGTTTGTTTTAAATAACCTAACTGGAAAATTGTAGAAAGTAGAATTAGCTCTTCCACTTTCCTATAATGCTATCAATGCAAGAAACATTTGAGAGTTATAGATGTCATCAATAGATCTGCCTGCAGGAAAAAAAAAACTGGCCCTCTAAATCCCTCATTCCATGCAAAAGAAGTGAAATTCCTCTCTGCCAATGGAGGAGACCACTGCTCCATCCAACTCTGTTATGGAAAAATATAGAGTTTGGGGGTACCAGAAGAACTATTTAGGATCTATTTCACAAAATAAAAAATGCATTATGCAACTGTAAAAGTTCTCTGGTATGTACCCTCTCTCTGTGTCCCTCTCTCTGTGTCCCCCCACTTTCTCCCTTCCCCCCTCTCTTGTCTGCACATACACAAACACACAGAGCTATGTCCTTACTCGTATTACTATATCCAGCTTCCTCAACTTCAAAGAGCTAACATGATCTTTATCAAGGTCAGCACCAGCACAATTTCTGTTAATCACTTATCAGCTTCTGTGGTTTGAAATTCTGCTGTTTCATTCAAAGCAGATGTGTGAAGAAGATCCAGGTTTTGTGCTAAACATCTCCAATTGGAAGGAAGGAAGGAAAGAAAGAAGGAAGGGAGGGAGGGAGGGAGGATGTCAAACTGTACAGTACTGGCCTCTATAAACTACTGGTCTGATTGAGTAAAAAGTAGCATAGTACCTTTATATAGATATTATACAGATGTATATTCTTGGCCAACAACAACACCCTTCTTGTGGGCTTTCCTGCAGCATCAAGTAGCACTATTTGGAATAGGATAAAGGATTAAATGGGCTCCCAATCTCAATGAAAGGGCAATCTTTACATTTTTAAATAAGTGATGATGTGATAGCTATAGTCAAAATTTGCATCAGCATCCAATGTTTTTGGGTAACTGCCAGACCTCAGTGCTCTGAAAGAACTGACTATTGATGTTAACCTGAGTCCTACTTCATTTATTTTTGCTAGCTTGTATTTCAAAGAGACTCTGCTGTTATCTAGCAACCTTCCAATTAAACATCATCCCTCTGAAGCAGACAGCTGTTGAATTCTGTGGGGGAAAAATTAAAGACAGACGCATTCCCTCAGGCAAACATAACAGGGATCCCTAATGATAAAGCCATGGGCATTGTGTGTGTGTGCCATATGTATGTATCTACGTGTGTACGTATTTATGTATGTACATTTTTGGATGGGTTTGATAGATATCTAAGGGTGATCATGGATACATTTGTCTTCCTGAGGCTTCCTGTTCCCATGCCCACCATAGTTTCAAAAGGGAAAACATTTGGGTGGTTTTGGGGAAGAGCATTAAGATTAGGAACTGGGAGAATTTTATCTTCCAGAACAAGGATGTCCAACCTTAACAACTTGAAAACCATGGGTGGCTGAGGAATTGTGAGAGTCATAGTCCCCAAGTTGAAGCCACAAGTCTTAAAGTTGCCAAGACTGGACATCCTGTACTGTGTCTCCCTTCTCATTCTAATCATCCATATTTGAGACTGGGAACAATCAGAGGATCAGAACTGGAAAGTTCTGCCACTCAATGTCAGGGCCATTGATCTCTGAGAACCAAGGAAACAAAACAGGCAACAAGACCGACAAGCAGCATGCGGACTGAAGGTTATCCATTTCTTGAATGTAATCCAACTTTTAAAAAATGTTCTTTTTTTAGAAGAACTCAAACAAACCTCACAACCACAATTTAATTTGTATCCCATATTAATTTGGTTGTCTCAAGTGACATGGTCAACAACTTGCTTGCTCAAATGAACAATTAGCTCCCCTTCCCATTAACTAATATACCAGTAGCCTTTGAATCACCAGCATTTTACAGTGGAGTCAGACAAAGGTATCCCCATTGAGGGAGGGAGGGAGATGATAGATGATAGATAGATAGATAGATAGATAGATAGATAGATAGATAGATAGATAGATAGATAACAGTTTTTATGATTTAAG